TCAATGCCTGTCACGGTGGTGAACTTATAGAAGTTTTATTATTGGTTTTGCTACAGTCTGGAGGCATGTTCTTGGACCCAATGATGTCATTGATAGAATCGATATTGCCATGGGTAAATGTGAGTCCTGCTTCCATGATCGTTGCCTTCTTTCATATTTGTTTCCAATGGTTGATTTACTGTTTTCCTTCTAAAAGCTGGCATGGTAATATTTATGCGTTTGTGGGTAGGGGTTTCTTGTTGTAGATGAATGATGTATCTGTCTGTCTTTTCTCTCGAATACTGTTAGCAGGCAGGGGTGAATTGCTCATCAAGCGAATGCTTCTTTCATTGTTTCAGATGTCATCACCCTTTCATCTGAGGGCAGTATCTTGAGGGCATGGAACCTTCCGGATGGACAAATGGTGTGGGAAGCATTTCTTCAAGGTCCACATTCCTCCAAGTCATCATTGTTGGTGCCGGTCAGTAAATGAAGTTCTTTTTTGCTGCTAAATCATTTTTATCTTTATGTATCTTCAAGTTTCTCTAACCTCTTTCATATCAGTTAGCATGCTACTGTCATTAAATTGCCTTTAATGAAAGCAGGATGATCTATTGTTTTTGACATTCTTCCGAAAGGACAAATTTGTAACCAAGGTTTATGTTCTTCAGGCTAGCTTGAAAGTTGACAAGGACAATGTAATCCTTGCTTTTGGTAAAGGATGTCTTCATGCCGTTTCAGGCATTCATGGCGAGATTCTCTGGAAGAAGGATTTGGAGGCAGAAAGGTTTGCCCAATTTGAAATCTTTTGGACTATATTTTGCTTTCTCTCATCTGCTAGTAACCATTTTGTTCATGTCTCTGCATTCTATATCTGTGTTTGCAGTTTTGAAATTCAACACATGATTCAGGCCTCTGGCAGTGATTTAATTCATTTGGTCGGGTTTGTTGGCTCATCCCGTTTTGATTCATACACAATTGATGCCAAGAGAGGAGAGCTACTAAAGCATGATAGTGCAGCCATCCCTGGCGGTTATTCTGGGCAAGCTTCCTTAGTTTCGAGCAGCACACTTGTAGTGATGGATTCGGCTGGTTCAACAGTAACAACAATTAGTTTCCAGGATGGAAAAGTTACATTTAGCCAAACACCTGTTTCTACCCTAATTGAGGACTTTGTTGGGAAGGCAAAGTTATTGGCTTTAAAACTTGAAGGAGTGTTTGCTGTGAAAACTGGTACACATACAACATTTGTAAGAGTGACAGTTGAAGGAAAGTTGGAGGTGGTAGATAAGATCAACCATGCAACTGCAGTTAGCGATGTTCTGGAAATTTCAGAGAACAGGCAAGCTTTTGCATTTGTTCACAGTAGAAGCAACGGGATTGACTTAACAGTGAAGCTTGGTGCAGATTGGAACCATGATTTGCTTAAGGAGAGCATTAAGATGGACCAAGAAAGAGGGTCTGTCCAGAAGGTGTACATAAACAACTACATCCGGACAGACAGGTCCCATGGATTCAGGGCTCTGATTGTCATGGAAGATCACTCTCTTTTACTGGTACAACAAGGTGCTGTTGTTTGGAGCAGGGAGGATGCTCTGGCCTCAGTTATAGATGTAAAAACGTCAGAGCTTCCTGTTGAAAAGAAAGGCGTTTCAGTTGCAAAAGTTGAGGAAAGCCTTTTTGAGTGGCTTCAGGTATGATGTAGAATAGTTTTTTTTCGAAAGCCAAGACACTACTGTCATGTGAAATGTTGATTGGAGAAATTTACCATATTTACACCTGTGAGGTTACGAATTCGTTTATTAAAACTAATCATATCGTTCTTGTATTCTTTGAGTCTGAGAGGCCTGAATGATATACCAAATGAGATTTTGCCACGTTCGTCTACTTTTTTCCTCCAGAAGAAGTCTTCTTCTCTACTTGTGTAATAGGCTAATACTTAGTTATTGATATGACTATAATGGAGCTCTACCCTTATATTAAGAAGCATTTATAGTGGCCGATTATTCGTAGAAGTAGAGATTAAGGAATGTTTGGTGTATTGCAGTCATGGTGCATGACTTTTGTACATCTTCCTGAAAGCTATTTACTATTGATTTTCATGGTAATAACTTGTAAGGTTTAACCCCAAACGGTTAGCCTAGTGATAATGTGGGGAGGATCACATCCTCCATACCCTAGCTCATACCTTGGAGCCAACAATCGTCCCTATGAAAGATTACCTTTAACGCTTTGCCTCATGGATCCTCTTTGGATTTTTAGGATTCTGATGATTCTCTTGTTGCTGCTGCTGTTGTTGCTAGGGACATGTGCTTAAGCTGAAAGGAACACTAATGCTTGCGAGTCCTGACGATATGGCTGCCATTCAATCCTTGCGGTTGAAAGCCTCCGGGAAGAGTAAGATGACCCGAGACCATAATGGTTTCCGGAAGCTTCTCATTGTGCTCACAAAAGCCGGGAAAGTTTTTGCCTTGCACACTGGAGATGGTAGGATCGTCTGGTCTCGGTTACTGAACTCTCTACGCCAATCAGAAACATGTGAAAACCCAACTGGGCTCAATCTGTTCCCCTGGCATGTTCCTCATCACCATGCACTGGACGAGAATCCATCTGCTCTTGTTGTCAGCCGATGTGGACCGAGTGATGATGCTCTAGGTCTACTTTCTTTTGTTGATACCTACACTGGAAAGGAGCTTAGTTCATCAAGTCTTGACCATTCTGTTGTGCAAGTCATTCCTCTGCCATTCATGGATTCAACTGAACAACGCCTGCATCTTCTAATAGATGCTAGTGGGCAAGCTCATTTGTATCCGAAGACCTCTGATGCCCTCAGTGTTTTCAGACCTGAGTTGTCAAATGTTTACTGGTATTCTGTTGAAGCTGAGACAGGTATTATTAAGGGGTACGCTCTAAAGGAAAAGGCTTCTGACGACTATTCTTTTGACACTAGAAGTATATGGTCGATCGTCTTCCCCTCAGAATCGGAAAAGATAATAAAAACTTCAACCAGAAAACTGAATGAGGTATGTTTCTCCTGATCAGCTTCTTCATTCATAGTTGGTTTATCCCTTGCTTGTATGAAGTAAATAGAAATTGTCTTCGGGTGTCTGCAGGTTGTTCATACCCAAGCAAAGGTCGTAGCAGATCAAGATGCAATGTTCAAATATATATCAAAGAATTTACTTTTCGTTGCAACTGTTGCACCGAAAGCCAGTGGTGATATTGGTTCATCGACCCCAGAGGAGTCATGGTTGATTGTCTACCTCATTGATACAATAACAGGCCGTATATTGCATCGTATGACTCATCATGGGGCCCAAGGTCCAGTAGAGGCGGTATGTTTCTGCATCTTTTCATGCTGTTGAAATGAACGTGGAAAGCCACTCACTATAAAAGTTAACTTGTTTTTGAGCAAAAACGGTAGCACTCAATAGTCTAATCCTCTTCTCAACATTCTGCAGGTTGTTAGTGAAAACTGGGTCATCTATCACTATTTCAATCTTAGAGCACACAAATATGAGATGTCGGTGATTGAAATTTATGATCAGTCTCGGGCGGTATGTACATAATAATAATTCACTATTTCATTGAAGGTTATTGGATGATGATATTCTAATATGGCTCTCATTGTGTGTGTTATTTTTAATGGTAATTATAGGACAACAAAGATGTATGGAAGCTCATCCTGGGGAAGCATAATCTGACTTCACCAGTATCTTCATATTCTAGGCCAGAGATCATGACTAGGTCACAGTCTTACTTCTTCACCCATTCCGTAAAATCAATAGCAGTTACATCCACCGCAAAGGGCATCACTTCAAAGCAGCTTCTTATTGGTACAGTTGGCGACCAGGTTAGTCAAACTAGACATTGATGTGGACGTGATTGTTTGTTCTGCTGAATGGCAGCTTCTATAGAAACTTACTCAATTCAATCAATGCAGGTTTTGGCGCTCGATAAGCGATTCTTGGATCCTCGTAGATCAGTCAATCCAACACAAGCAGAAAAGGAGGAAGGAATTATTCCTCTCACCGATTCACTGCCCATCATCCCTCAGGTTAGCTGCCTGTACTTCTCCCAAGACTCAAATTCTGCACCAGATGTGAAACAATTTGGTTGAAAGATAGAACCAAACCGGACTGAATGCATCCTCGATTTGGCTCTTCTCATTTTTTCCTTTGTCCTATTTATACGGTCTTGTTCGGACCGAACAAGACCATGCACGCCGTTCTTCCTACTTAACCTCACCTCGCACATCTTTTTTTCCCTCGATCCCAAACCTTTGCAGTCATACATTACGCATGCCCTTAAAGTGGAAGGCCTGAGAGGCATTGAAACCGTACCAGCCAAGCTCGAGTCGACCACACTCATTTTCGCTTACGGAGTCGACCTCTTCTTCACCCGCTTCGCACCATCAAGGACCTACGACTCTCTCACCGAGGACTTCAGCTACGCGCTGTTGCTCTTGACGATTGTCGCCCTAGTGGCCGCCATCTTCATAACGTGGATTCTATCGGAGAAGAAAGAACTCCGAGACAAGTGGAGGTGAAAAGGGAGACAGACATTAGACAGCTCCTCAGCCTCTGAAAACCCCATGTTTCAGTTTCCTTTCCTTTCACCTCACGGTTTTGATTAGACTGAACTTGTAGGATGTTAGCTCTCAAACTCTTGTAAGTGTTTGTAGATTACACTCTAATCTCATTTATAGGGTACTTGCTAGTGAATCTCTTGTAAACTCCGACTCATCATTTTGCAAGCTCGATAAATGCTAGAACCTCAGGGGAGAGAGGTACCCTGACCCTTTTGCGACAGCTTTTAGCCTGTTCGGGAGGATACTGTAGGTGTGGAAATCGGTACGGTATCGGTATTCCAATATTAAATATTGAAAATTACATCCTAAAGTCAATTTCAATCCCTAAATATTTCGGTATCACAATTGGTATTATCGAATACGAAGTTAATTACCTTTGCAATTAATAATTAAATATATAAATTAGATTTTATTGTTTGATTTAGGGGGAAAAAGACTAAGCAAAGAGTTTTGAATTATGGTATTATTAAGGAGAGTGGAGGACAGTGGACAGGAGGATGACGCGAAACCGGCCGAGGGAAGAGTCGCCTAGCGAAGCACCGAAGATGGCCATGGTGCTGGAAGCCGAGCTCCACAGGGAGATGACGCTGGAGGCAGCTGCTGCCGCCATGTGGAACTCAGTCGTCAGGTAGATCACCATGTTCGCGTTCAGCCCCGTGCTTACCAACGTCTGAAACGCCTCGTTCACTGCAAAAACACACCGAAACAGAAAGAAAGCCAAAGCCCATCAATGGCGAAAACCAGTGGGAGCAGAGAAAATGCAGGCAGAAGATTAGGTAGGTAGGTAGATAAGAACCGTAACGTACACATGATGAATGGAATGGTTCTGAAGCCACCCTTTGCAGCAGCAGCAGTAGTCTTCTTCTGCTTCTCCATAGGGTTGGGGGAGCGACGATCATGAGAAAGGAGGGTCGTTTTCTTGTCATCCTCGCCGTCGAACTGTCTGCGGTTGCTCTCCTCCGCCATGAGAAAGGAAGCAGTGATGATGAATTGATGATGGAATGGCTGGCTAAGGATGGTTAACAATGGCTGCTCGCCCACTGCTGAGGTACATTTATAAAATATCAACTAGATGTATCACTGTCTGTCGTTAGCTAGCTTTCTGTTAGGTTACCACTAAAAGGAAATTGGGCCTCCCCCGTTTTAAAGTGAGGTGAATATCATTCCATTAACGAGGTGGGTCTAATTAGGTTACCATCTGTTGGGCATATGACTCGGGTCTAATCGCGCGAAGAAGGAGCCGAGCGCGAAACTGGTGTGTCCCCAAGCGCGCCCAAGCCCCTGCGCGCTGTCAAAGACGTCAAGCGCCAAACGACGACGTCTCAAAGCAGAGAGTCAACCAGATCAGGAAACCATGGGAAAAGTGATCCTGCGGTTCCCGAGGAGCAGTCACATCACAATCCTAGATAAGTCTCCCATGCCCTAGGCAGCAACCTATATCCTCTAGCGTGTCAGAGGTCATGTCACCTTACTACCATGTAACTCACCCACCACCATTTAGCCTATAAATAGGGCATTTACTATGGTGGGTGAGGGGATCGCATTTTTCAGACTCTATCTCTACGATCATCAACTTCTCTCTCTAAAACTCTATTCTCCTAACTCCGTTCTTACCTACCTTTGTTCCTTATTCTATAACCGATTCCTACTGCTTACTCTCCTTGACCCTCCCTCTCCCTCGAACCTCACTCCTACACTCAGTTAGGTTCAAACACCATCATTGATGCTCTCACTGTCATTCATTCAATAATGGCGAAAATAATATTTTTACCCAAAGGGGTTGGAAAATTGTACCATAACTCGGAACTCTATTTACTTAAAAAGACATCTTAATAGTCATGTTTAGGTAGGATGTTGAATTGTTGAGGATAGACCATGTTATAGAAACATGGAATTTGGGTGTTTTTCGCTATTTTGACAAGTTAGTCGATTTATTATTGTTTTGTGTTACTCTGAATGTTATTTTTGAAAGGGTTTTTTTGGGGAGTAATTGGGCTATTTCTGTGGGGATGTATTGCTTTGAGTTGTTTTAAAGAATTTGTCAGTTATCAATAGTACCTACCAAATAAAAGACCTGCTCAGGAAGACTATCTAATTCTCCGAAAAGGATCGATTTAAACCCTCTTATAGTTTCTACCAAATAGAATACATGCTCAGGAAGACTATCTAATTCTCCGAAAAGGATCGATTTAAACCCTCTTATAGTTTCTGCTAGGCCGACATACTTTCCCGGAGAACCCGTAAATACTTTTGCTGCGAAAAAAGGGTTGTGATGAGAAACGCTCAATTTTTCGTGCTCTTACTACGGTTAAGCGATCCTCTTCCGATAATTCGTCCAACCCCATGATGGCTATAATGTCCTGGAGTTCTCTGTAACGTTGTAAAGTCTGCTTAACTCTCTTGAGCAGTTTCATTATATTATATATTGTGTAGTTTGGAGAATTATTCATCAAGAGATTTCGGTTTCGTTCCAATTTTATCGAATGTCTCTGAAAGGGAGATCAAAGTGATTTCAGTATGGTTAAGTCTAAACCTAATCTCCCACCCGTCCCTCCCACCCATATTGAGTTGCCGGCTGTCCCCTTCTCTTTCTCTCTTCTTTTCTCAATCGCGCTCCTAATTTCTTCTAATCACCTCCCCCAATTTCTCAATTATCCTATTATCTGTTACTAATCTTTGTTATATGAACCCTAAACCAAGAGAAAAAATCCCAAAATACACATGTTTTTAAAAGAAATTCCCAAAATACACACGTTATAAATAAAATTCCCAAAATACACATGTTTGGGCATCACTGCTGTTGTCAACCGCAGTGAATGCATTCACCGCGGCAGACCAATACGGTGAATGCATCACCGCGGTTGACGGCCAAGGTGAATGCCTAACGTAACACTGAAACTTCAAACAAACGTAACTTTGCGCTCGGTTATCCGATTGTAGCGGATTTTTTTTATTCCATATAACTTTTCAAGATCTTTCAATCTGAAACAAGACTTCATCCAAAAAAAATCATTTGCTACCCTGAACGAGCAATTTTTCGATTTTAACAAACTTTGGAAGATCATAACTTTGTGCTCCACAATCCGAATGTCATGAAACTTTTTTTGATTTTGCATAAATTTTGAAGTACTACAACTTTTATTATAACCATAATTTTGGAAAGTATGTGGATTTGTGAAAAGTAAAGGCAAAGTTATTCCCAAAATCCCGTATACCGAAAAATACTTCTTTTTTAAAAAATTATTTCCTAGTCAAAGTTGTAGTTCTTAAAAAGTTACGCGCAATAAAAAAAACTTTACGACGTTCGGATTGAGGAGCTAAAAGTTATGTCCTTCCAAAGTTTGGCAAAATCGAAAAATTGCTCGTTCGGGGTAACAAACGACATTTTTTTGAGATGAAGTCTTGTTGCAGATTGAAAGATCTTGAAAAGTTATATGGAATCAAAAAAAAATTCACTACAATCGGATAACCGAGCGCAAAGTTACGTTTGTTTGAAGTTTCAGAGTTAAGTCGGGCCTTCACCGCGGCCGTCAACCGCGGTGATGCATTCACCGCTTTGGTCTGCCGCGGTGAATGAATTCACTGCGGTTGACAACAGCGGTGATGCCCAAACATATGTATTTTGGAAAAAAAAATTATAACGTATGTATTTTGGGAATTTCTTTTAAAAACATGTATATTTTTGGAATTCATCCAAACCAAGACGCCAAATCCTGTATTCTTCTTACACACCCCTACAGAACCCTTTCATTGAAACGGTCCATAGACTGGACAAGCTCATTCAATACAGATCCCACCAAAGTTTGGAAAGTCATAAATGGAATTTCAATTTCTACTCGAAATCCACCTTTCCAAAATTGGATGAAGTCTGATCGAGTTAGCTAGGTGTCAATTCACTTTCAGGCATTAATTTTGGAGAAAGACAGATAGATTGAAACGACTTGCCCTTCGTCCGGGCCAGGGATTTGGGTGGTTAGTTAGTTGGAGCTGTTAAGAAGCCAACTACTGTAGTAATCTAATTGTGTGTGGAAGTAGAGTTTATCTCAAGCAGAAAATGAAGAACACGTTTGGTTAGCTAGAACAGGTGGTTCGACCGGTGTTCCTTCAACCGGGCCGTGTCTCAACTCTCAACTTCAAAGCAAAGAATTAACAATGAAAACAGAAGTCGTTTTTTTCTCTGTCGTGGCGTGTAGGGAAGTAATAAAATTGTCATAAATGTGTAAAACGTATGAAAAAAGGTCACACAAGTAACACGATATAACAAAATAGCTATTCCATGTGTTTATATCTATATTACAATTGCTCTAGAAAAGAGGTAGATTTACGAATTGTTTTGGTGTATGGAGTTTTCTTTATCAATTCTTCACTATGTCAGCAAGCTAATTGGTTATTCAAGATGGAAATACGGCTAGAAAGAGAAGAAATGACGATTTTTCTTTTTAGTATCATGATATATACATGACTTTTTTTTTTTTTTTTGTATCGTTTGTAATTGTTTTGTTACAGGTTCAAACCTAGGTGATCCATTTGCCCAACGTTAAGGATTCCATATACGAGAATGGGAAAGCTCCAATCCAAAAACGACTTGCGTTTTGGACAAGGTATCCAAGGCAATACATGATTTGGTTGGTTGGAGGCTTGGAGCAGTTAACGGTTAGGTACCGTTGAATGGGGTTCTGCATTGGGCCGCTTGGCAAATTTTTAAGCCCAAGGTTGAACATTCGGAAAGGGGCTTAATTTGGGCCGTCTGATAAGATTCTAAGCCCAAGAGGTCGTGGGTCAATTAACGTGAAGAAGGCGGGGAAAGCGCGGGAATGGGACAGCCCACATGCAGAGAGAGATCATGCACGTACGGAGAGATCTAATTCAGGGTTAATTAATATGAATTTCAATTTGCTAAATGGTTAGTAAATTAATTACTCTATATTTAGCAACGATCCAGATTTGACTTGTTAGCATGTGTTTTAATCTTAATTCTTATGGTACAAATTTAACTTGTACACAAATTTTTCTTTATGTTACAAACTAAACTTGTGTATTCTCATAAGCACGAATACTTACTAGCCTTCATATTTTGAACATGCCGAATTTTCCTTACTACAGTATCAACTTTTTGGTCGATTAGAAATCCTTATTCCTAATAAGATTAGGAATCCTAGATCAACTAGGAATCATAAAGAAACAAAAGATATTATGACAATCTATCATGACATGGTGTTACAGTAAACCTACTGGTTTCGTTTTTTATTGTAAGAATGATATAAATTTACTTCTTTACGGTGAAGTAATACTTAACGAATTCGAATCTGAGACCTCCAAGTTCAAGACTAGTAGTATTACCACTAGACTAAACCCTTGTTCGTAGTAAACCTACTGGTTTCCCACTTCATCCACCTCTCTTGTATCCTCACCCTTGAGAGGACCATAGCCCTTGCAGCAAGCAACATAGTACACAAAATTCCCCAAACTCAAACCAGCCAAAACCCAGTAGTAGTAATCATAATGTCCCTTGTTAATGTTGCTCCCCACCCAGCTCCCTCCACCACCACCATCTCTCGTCGCGCGATCCACGACGCTCAGCACCAAGCTCGCCACCAGATTCGACACCGACAGCCCCATCTGATACAGAGTCGTGGAGATACTAGCCATGCTCCTCGGCAGCTCGCTGTAGTAGAACTCATTCTGTCCAATGTAGTTAAACGCCTCCGCCACCCCAAATGGCACGTAGTACAACAAAAACCACATCGCGGACATGTTCACGATCCCATTGGGATCGTTGGAGAGCCCCTCGTCGAGCGCCCTGGCTCGACGAATGCTCTCCACGAGGCCCAGCGCGGCCATGGAGGCAGAGGAGAGCAGGATGGCGAGCCCCAGCCTCGTCTTCAGGGGAAGCGAGACGGGCCATCCCCTGAGGGTTGAGGCTAAGGGCAGGATGGCTCGGTCGTAGAGGGGAACCCAAATTAGTAGAGTGAGGACTAGGAAGATGCTGAAGGAGCCTGCTGGGATCTCGATTTTCGGAGTAATGTGGCGGTCCATGGTGGCGAGTTGGAGCAGCTGGATGGATTGCTGGCTTGCTGTGACGGACATTAGCATCCCTGCTGACCAGATTGGGATGATTCGGATTACGGATTTGAGATCCTCGACTTGTTCTACTGTGCAGAGGCGCCATGGATGAGCTGGTTTGCCTTCCTGGGTTAGGTCTTGTTCGGGGTGTTGAATGATGCAGGCCTTGTTGAGAAACCTGAAAGCATCAGCAGGAACAGGATGATTATGTCGAGAATCAGTTGGTTCGAATACAACGTACTTAAACAAATGAGGTCGTACCTCGATCTCTGTGATAGATGGCTCTGATCTCATGTCAAGAACCAGTTTGTACAAATAATTTGAGCAGAGGTGAAATGTAATCAAAACCGCGTTTTTAATACTTAAAAGTTTTAAGCTTTACACTTTTTCTAGATCACCAAAACGCTTCTATGTAGAATCGTACTTTTTTACTTACAATGGTAAGTCAAAATCCCCGCTTTAAAACTTAAAAGTTCACGTTTTTATGCTTCTAGATCACTAAAACGCTATACAAAAATGATGATTTTGACTGTATTTGTTGGGAGAGGTTCAATTATCAATCATGTATCGCTTACTAACAAGTGTAAACATACCTCAAATTCTCAGATGGTTCCAAATTCATTACTGCAGCAGTGGATTGATGATGATGATGATAAGCTAGAGTGGTTGATTGAGGAGGGGGAAGCAGCTTGATGCTCCTCTTGGTCCAGGCAGCTACAACAACTTGAGCAAGTTCAGTGACCAAGCTTGCTTTGGCCACCGGCTTCACATAGAACACAGAAGCAGAGAAGAAGGAAATTGCAGACAACACCATGAGCACCACACAGACTCCAAAACCAGCACTCCAGCCAGCAGAATCCTGGATGTAAACAAACGACATTTTTAAAAAGTTACGCGCAATAAAAAAAACTTTACGACGTTCGGATTGAGGAGCTAAAAGTTATGTCCTTCCAAAGTTTGGCAAAATCGAAAAATTGCTCGTTCGGGGTAACAAACGACATTTTTTTGAGATGAAGTCTTGTTGCAGATTGAAAGATCTTGAAAAGTTATATGGAATCAAAAAAAATTTCACTACAATCGGATAACCGAGCGCAAAGTTACGTTTGTTTGAAGTTTCAGAGTTAAGTCGGGCCTTCACCGCGGCCGTCAACCGCGGTGATGCATTCACCGCTTTGGTCTGCCGCGGTGAATGAATTCACTGCGGTTGACAACAGCGGTGATGCCCAAACATATGTATTTTGGAAAAAAAAATTATAACGTATGTATTTTGGGAATTTCTTTTAAAAACATGTATATTTTTGGAATTCATCCAAACCAAGACGCCAAATCCTGTATTCTTCTTACACACCCCTACAGAACCCTTTCATTGAAACGGTCCATAGACTGGACAAGCTCATTCAATACAGATCCCACCAAAGTTTGGAAAGTCATAAATGGAATTTCAATTTCTACTCGAAATCCACCTTTCCAAAATTGGATGAAGTCTGATCGAGTTAGCTAGGTGTCAATTCACTTTCAGGCATTAATTTTGGAGAAAGACAGATAGATTGAAACGACTTGCCCTTCGTCCGGGCCAGGGATTTGGGTGGTTAGTTAGTTGGAGCTGTTAAGAAGCCAACTACTGTAGTAATCTAATTGTGTGTGGAAGTAGAGTTTATCTCAAGCAGAAAATGAAGAACACGTTTGGTTAGCTAGAACAGGTGGTTCGACCGGTGTTCCTTCAACCGGGCCGTGTCTCAACTCTCAACTTCAAAGCAAAGAATTAACAATGAAAACAGAAGTCGTTTTTTCTCTGTCGTGGCGTGTAGGGAAGTAATAAAATTGTCATAAATGTGTAAAACGTATGAAAAAAGGTCACACAAGTAACACGATATAACAAAATAGCTATTCCATGTGTTTATATCTATATTACAATTGCTCTAGAAAAGAGGTAGATTTACGAATTGTTTTGGTGTATGGAGTTTTCTTTATCAATTCTTCACTATGTCAGCAAGCTAATTGGTTATTCAAGATGGAAATACGGCTAGAAAGAGAAGAAATGACGATTTTTCTTTTTAGTATCATGATATATACATGACTTTTTTTTTTTTTTTGTATCGTTTGTAATTGTTTTGTTACAGGTTCAAACCTAGGTGATCCATTTGCCCAACGTTAAGGATTCCATATACGAGAATGGGAAAGCTCCAATCCAAAAACGACTTGCGTTTTGGACAAGGTATCCAAGGCAATACATGATTTGGTTGGTTGGAGGCTTGGAGCAGTTAACGGTTAGGTACCGTTGAATGGGGTTCTGCATTGGGCCGCTTGGCAAATTTTTAAGCCCAAGGTTGAACATTCGGAAAGGGGCTTAATTTGGGCCGTCTGATAAGATTCTAAGCCCAAGAGGTCGTGGGTCAATTAACGTGAAGAAGGCGGGGAAAGCGCGGGAATGGGACAGCCCACATGCAGAGAGAGATCATGCACGTACGGAGAGATCTAATTCAGGGTTAATTAATATGAATTTCAATTTGCTAAATGGTTAGTAAATTAATTACTCTATATTTAGCAACGATCCAGATTTGACTTGTTAGCATGTGTTTTAATCTTAATTCTTATGGTACAAATTTAACTTGTACACAAATTTTTCTTTATGTTACAAACTAAACTTGTGTATTCTCATAAGCACGAATACTTACTAGCCTTCATATTTTGAACATGCCGAATTTTCCTTACTACAGTATCAACTTTTTGGTCGATTAGAAATCCTTATTCCTAATAAGATTAGGAATCCTAGATCAACTAGGAATCATAAAGAAACAAAAGATATTATGACAATCTATCATGACATGGTGTTACAGTAAACCTACTGGTTTCGTTTTTTATTGTAAGAATGATATAAATTTACTTCTTTACGGTGAAGTAATACTTAACGAATTCGAATCTGAGACCTCCAAGTTCAAGACTAGTAGTATTACCACTAGACTAAACCCTTGTTCGTAGTAAACCTACTGGTTTCCCACTTCATCCACCTCTCTTGTATCCTCACCCTTGAGAGGACCATAGCCCTTGCAGCAAGCAACATAGTACACAAAATTCCCCAAACTCAAACCAGCCAAAACCCAGTAGTAGTAATCATAATGTCCCTTGTTAATGTTGCTCCCCACCCAGCTCCCTCCACCACCACCATCTCTCGTCGCGCGATCCACGACGCTCAGCACCAAGCTCGCCACCAGATTCGACACCGACAGCCCCATCTGATACAGAGTCGTGGAGATACTAGCCATGCTCCTCGGCAGCTCGCTGTAGTAGAACTCATTCTGTCCAATGTAGTTAAACGCCTCCGCCACCCCAAATGGCACGTAGTACAACAAAAACCACATCGCGGACATGTTCACGATCCCATTGGGATCGTTGGAGAGCCCCTCGTCGAGCGCCCTGGCTCGACGAATGCTCTCCACGAGGCCCAGCGCGGCCATGGAGGCAGAGGAGAGCAGGATGGCGAGCCCCAGCCTCGTCTTCAGGGGAAGCGAGACGGGCCATCCCCTGAGGGTTGAGGCTAAGGGCAGGATGGCTCGGTCGTAGAGGGGAACCCAAATTAGTAGAGTGAGGACTAGGAAGATGCTGAAGGAGCCTGCTGGGATCTCGATTTTCGGAGTAATGTGGCGGTCCATGGTGGCGAGTTGGAGCAGCTGGATGGATTGCTGGCTTGCTGTGACGGACATTAGCATCCCTGCTGACCAGATTGGGATGATTCGGATTACGGATTTGAGATCCTCGACTTGTTCTACTGTGCAGAGGCGCCATGGATGAGCTGGTTTGCCTTCCTGGGTTAGGTCTTGTTCGGGGTGTTGAATGATGCAGGCCTTGTTGAGAAACCTGAAAGCATCAGCAGGAACAGGATGATTATGTCGAGAATCAGTTGGTTCGAATACAACGTACTTAAACAAATGAGGTCGTACCTCGATCTCTGTGATAGATGGCTCTGATCTCATGTCAAGAACCAGTTTGTACAAATAATTTGAGCAGAGGTGAAATGTAATCAAAACCGCGTTTTTAATACTTAAAAGTTTTAAGCTTTACACTTTTTCTAGATCACCAAAACGCTTCTATGTAGAATCGTACTTTTTTACTTACAATGGTAAGTCAAAATCCCCGCTTTAAAACTTAAAAGTTCACGTTTTTATGCTTCTAGATCACTAAAACGCTATACAAAAATGATGATTTTGACTGTATTTGTTGGGAGAGGTTCAATTATCAATCATGTATCGCTTACTAACAAGTGTAAACATACCTCAAATTCTCAGATGGTTCCAAATTCATTACTGCAGCAGTGGATTGATGATGATGATGATAAGCTAGAGTGGTTGATTGAGGAGGGGGAAGCAGCTTGATGCTCCTCTTGGTCCAGGCAGCTACAACAACTTGAGCAAGTTCAGTGACCAAGCTTGCTTTGGCCACCGGCTTCACATAGAACACAGAAGCAGAGAAGAAGGAAATTGCAGACAACACCATGAGCACCACACAGACTCCAAAACCAGCACTCCAGCCAGCAGAATCCTGGATGTAAACAAACGACATTTTTAAAAAGTTACGCGCAATAAAAAAAACTTTACGACGTTCGGATTGAGGAGCTAAAAGTTATGTCCTTCCAAAGTTTGGCAAAATCGAAAAATTGCTCGTTCGGGGTAACAAACGACATTTTTTTGAGATGAAGTCTTGTTGCAGATTGAAAGATCTTGAAAAGTTATATGGAATCAAAAAAAATTTCACTACAATCGGATAACCGAGCGCAAAGTTACGTTTGTTTGAAGTTTCAGAGTTAAGTCGGGCCTTCACCGCGGCCGTCAACCGCGGTGATGCATTCACCGCTTTGGTCTGCCGCGGTGAATGAATTCACTGCGGTTGACAACAGCGGTGATGCCCAAACATATGTATTTTGGAAAAAAAAATTATAACGTATGTATTTTGGGAATTTCTTTTAAAAACATGTATATTTTTGGAATTCATCCAAACCAAGACGCCAAATCCTGTATTCTTCTTACACACCCCTACAGAACCCTTTCATTGAAACGGTCCATAGACTGGACAAGCTCATTCAATACAGATCCCACCAAAGTTTGGAAAGTCATAAATGGAATTTCAATTTCTACTCGAAATCCACCTTTCCAAAATTGGATGAAGTCTGATCGAGTTAGCTAGGTGTCAATTCACTTTCAGGCATTAATTTTGGAGAAAGACAGATAGATTGAAACGACTTGCCCTTCGTCCGGGCCAGGGATTTGGGTGGTTAGTTAGTTGGAGCTGTTAAGAAGCCAACTACTGTAGTAATCTAATTGTGTGTGGAAGTAGAGTTTATCTCAAGCAGAAAATGAAGAACACGTTTGGTTAGCTAGAACAGGTGGTTCGACCGGTGTTCCTTCAACCGGGCCGTGTCTCAACTCTCAACTTCAAAGCAAAGAATTAACAATGAAAACAGAAGTCGTTTTTTCTCTGTCGTGGCGTGTAGGGAAGTAATAAAATTGTCATAAATGTGTAAAACGTATGAAAAAAGGTCACACAAGTAACACGATATAACAAAATAGCTATTCCATGTGTTTATATCTATATTACAATTGCTCTAGAAAAGAGGTAGATTTACGAATTGTTTTGGTGTATGGAGTTTTCTTTATCAATTCTTCACTATGTCAGCAAGCTAATTGGTTATTCAAGATGGAAATACGGCTAGAAAGAGAAGAAATGACGATTTTTCTTTTTAGTATCATGATATATACATGACTTTTTTTTTTTTTTTGTATCGTTTGTAATTGTTTTGTTACAGGTTCAAACCTAGGTGATCCATTTGCCCAACGTTAAGGATTCCATATACGAGAATGGGAAAGCTCCAATCCAAAAACGACTTGCGTTTTGGACAAGGTATCCAAGGCAATACATGATTTGGTTGGTTGGAGGCTTGGAGCAGTTAACGGTTAGGTACCGTTGAATGGGGTTCTGCATTGGGCCGCTTGGCAAATTTTTAAGCCCAAGGTTGAACATTCGGAAAGGGGCTTAATTTGGGCCGTCTGATAAGATTCTAAGCCCAAGAGGTCGTGGGTCAATTAACGTGAAGAAGGCGGGGAAAGCGCGGGAATGGGACAGCCCACATGCAGAGAGAGATCATGCACGTACGGAGAGATCTAATTCAGGGTTAATTAATATGAATTTCAATTTGCTAAATGGTTAGTAAATTAATTACTCTATATTTAGCAACGATCCAGATTTGACTTGTTAGCATGTGTTTTAATCTTAATTCTTATGGTACAAATTTAACTTGTACACAAATTTTTCTTTATGTTACAAACTAAACTTGTGTATTCTCATAAGCACGAATACTTACTAGCCTTCATATTTTGAACATGCCGAATTTTCCTTACTACAGTATCAACTTTTTGGTCGATTAGAAATCCTTATTCCTAATAAGATTAGGAATCCTAGATCAACTAGGAATCATAAAGAAACAAAAGATATTATGACAATCTATCATGACATGGTGTTACAGTAAACCTACTGGTTTCGTTTTTTATTGTAAGAATGATATAAATTTACTTCTTTACGGTGAAGTAATACTTAACGAATTCGAATCTGAGACCTCCAAGTTCAAGACTAGTAGTATTACCACTAGACTAAACCCTTGTTCGTAGTAAACCTACTGGTTTCCCACTTCATCCACCTCTCTTGTATCCTCACCCTTGAGAGGACCATAGCCCTTGCAGCAAGCAACATAGTACACAAAATTCCCCAAACTCAAACCAGCCAAAACCCAGTAGTAGTAATCATAATGTCCCTTGTTAATGTTGCTCCCCACCCAGCTCCCTCCACCACCACCATCTCTCGTCGCGCGATCCACGACGCTCAGCACCAAGCTCGCCACCAGATTCGACACCGACAGCCCCATCTGATACAGAGTCGTGGAGATACTAGCCATGCTCCTCGGCAGCTCGCTGTAGTAGAACTCATTCTGTCCAATGTAGTTAAACGCCTCCGCCACCCCAAATGGCACGTAGTACAACAAAAACCACATCGCGGACATGTTCACGATCCCATTGGGATCGTTGGAGAGCCCCTCGTCGAGCGCCCTGGCTCGACGAATGCTCTCCACGAGGCCCAGCGCGGCCATGGAGGCAGAGGAGAGCAGGATGGCGAGCCCCAGCCTCGTCTTCAGGGGAAGCGAGACGGGCCATCCCCTGAGGGTTGAGGCTAAGGGCAGGATGGCTCGGTCGTAGAGGGGAACCCAAATTAGTAGAGTGAGGACTAGGAAGATGCTGAAGGAGCCTGCTGGGATCTCGATTTTCGGAGTAATGTGGCGGTCCATGGTGGCGAGTTGGAGCAGCTGGATGGATTGCTGGCTTGCTGTGACGGACATTAGCATCCCTGCTGACCAGATTGGGATGATTCGGATTACGGATTTGAGATCCTCGACTTGTTCTACTGTGCAGAGGCGCCATGGATGAGCTGGTTTGCCTTCCTGGGTTAGGTCTTGTTCGGGGTGTTGAATGATGCAGGCCTTGTTGAGAAACCTGAAAGCATCAGCAGGAACAGGATGATTATGTCGAGAATCAGTTGGTTCGAATACAACGTACTTAAACAAATGAGGTCGTACCTCGATCTCTGTGATAGATGGCTCTGATCTCATGTCAAGAACCAGTTTGTACAAATAATTTGAGCAGAGGTGAAATGTAATCAAAACCGCGTTTTTAATACTTAAAAGTTTTAAGCTTTACACTTTTTCTAGATCACCAAAACGCTTCTATGTAGAATCGTACTTTTTTACTTACAATGGTAAGTCAAAATCCCCGCTTTAAAACTTAAAAGTTCACGTTTTTATGCTTCTAGATCACTAAAACGCTATACAAAAATGATGATTTTGACTGTATTTGTTGGGAGAGGTTCAATTATCAATCATGTATCGCTTACTAACAAGTGTAAACATACCTCAAATTCTCAGATGGTTCCAAATTCATTACTGCAGCAGTGGATTGATGATGATGATGATAAGCTAGAGTGGTTGATTGAGGAGGGGGAAGCAGCTTGATGCTCCTCTTGGTCCAGGCAGCTACAACAACTTGAGCAAGTTCAGTGACCAAGCTTGCTTTGGCCACCGGCTTCACATAGAACACAGAAGCAGAGAAGAAGGAAATTGCAGACAACACCATGAGCACCACACAGACTCCAAAACCAGCACTCCAGCCAGCAGAATCCTGGATGTAAACAAACGACATTTTTAAAAAGTTACGCGCAATAAAAAAAACTTTACGACGTTCGGATTGAGGAGCTAAAAGTTATGTCCTTCCAAAGTTTGGCAAAATCGAAAAATTGCTCGTTCGGGGTAACAAACGACATTTTTTTGAGATGAAGTCTTGTTGCAGATTGAAAGATCTTGAAAAGTTATATGGAATCAAAAAAAATTTCACTACAATCGGATAACCGAGCGCAAAGTTACGTTTGTTTGAAGTTTCAGAGTTAAGTCGGGCCTTCACCGCGGCCGTCAACCGCGGTGATGCATTCACCGCTTTGGTCTGCCGCGGTGAATGAATTCACTGCGGTTGACAACAGCGGTGATGCCCAAACATATGTATTTTGGAAAAAAAAATTATAACGTATGTATTTTGGGAATTTCTTTTAAAAACATGTATATTTTTGGAATTCATCCAAACCAAGACGCCAAATCCTGTATTCTTCTTACACACCCCTACAGAACCCTTTCATTGAAACGGTCCATAGACTGGACAAGCTCATTCAATACAGATCCCACCAAAGTTTGGAAAGTCATAAATGGAATTTCAATTTCTACTCGAAATCCACCTTTCCAAAATTGGATGAAGTCTGATCGAGTTAGCTAGGTGTCAATTCACTTTCAGGCATTAATTTTGGAGAAAGACAGATAGATTGAAACGACTTGCCCTTCGTCCGGGCCAGGGATTTGGGTGGTTAGTTAGTTGGAGCTGTTAAGAAGCCAACTACTGTTTTACTAATCTAATTGTTTTATCTCAGCTTTTAGCTAATGTGACATACACAATCACACATACCAAATGCTGTATTTTACAATAACTTAGTTTGGCCCTGCTGTAGCTTTTGCATTAGCAGCTTCTGGCTAGAGCTTTTAGATAAGTACTTTTCAAAAAAACCAGTTCAGTGTTTAGCTGTAAAACTACTAGAAGTGCTTTTTAATATGAGAGGTTGTGTAAAATGACAATAAAAGACTTAAAATATAAAATATGAATAAAAATTTTAAACAATAAAAATAGTCAAAATGGATCTTGTTAAAATTTCTTTTATATTAAATAATATAATTTATTTTATTTTTAAAATGATATAAATGAAGGAAAATTATATTTTCTGAAATAAAATTAAAATATGGTAAGAATAATCCTGTATTTTCAAAACAACTTTTCGCAGAATCTCCAAATTAGAGCTTCTGCTTTTATGTTATACAAAAGCGCTTTCGACTTTTCAAAAGCCGAGCTTTTAGAGGTGTTTGGCCCTGCTTTAGCTTTTGAAGCCGAAAAGCACTTCTAAAAGTCGGGCCAAACATAGGGAATGTATCAAATTCATCAATACACGTATAATACTATATATGTATTCACAACAATACATCTACTTAACAATCGCAATTTCCAAACAACTCCTAACTTTATTTGGCAATATTGTACAATGGGGTCGTTTGGTTTTGGTGATTGTTTGATTGAGATAGTTACAATACATGCATTGTTCACAATGCATTGTTTTTTTTTTTTTAATTTTCTGCACAAACAATACATGCATTGTTTGCTTGATTTGATACAACGATAACTCAAAATGAGTGATAGTTAAATCTGAAGTTTTCGGTGAGATTGTTTGGTTGAGATTGTTGTCTGTTTTTTTCTTCCAACTATGTCCCTACTTTTGTATGTGGCTTGCCTTTGTATATTGTACCAAAGGGTGAAAGTGACATTTCACCCAAAAAGTAATCTAACTTATTTAAATAACACAATAACCATCACAAAAACCAAACGATGTAATCTACAATACACCAATTTTCGTATATACATGTATATTATTATGAATGCATTGATGACAATCCATCTTTTTAACTATCCCAAAACCAAACGAACCATATGTCTTAACGCACTAATACTTTCTTGTTTGACAACATTTCTGACACACCTGGCATAATTATACCACACTAATTTAAAATTAAATAGATGCTTTATTCATAATACAAGATTATTATATTATTTTGTTGTTGTATTAACAATAGTAATACAAAACAAGCGTCGCCATAAGTCAAGATTAACGTCTATTGTTTGAACACGAAAGAAAGCACTTTTGCTTTGAACCGTTTGAATATCATTCAAAACCTTAATTACATTCTTTGGCCATGACCCATTGCCTTAATGACAGCAATTAGCCCCACTAAACCAGTCTGAATGCTCCACTAAACCAGTCCCACAAGCCAATATCTTTCCATATCTCCTTTCCCCTTTTATACACAGAAAACACTCAATTCCATATCATGCCTTAGCGTACAAATAAGGAAACCTAGAAATCACTCCTTTCAAACCCTTTTATCTTCGCTTCAAGCATTTTCCATTTCCAGATACAATTCAGAGCAGAGATGACGAAGAAAATGAGAACAGTAAAGGTTCAATTCACCTGGTGGTGGTTGCAGATTCTCGCCGTGCAGTTAACTCTCATCCACGCCATTCCTCCGGCGGCCCCGCTTCAGTGCCAGGACGGCGGCGCCGGCGGGTGTACTCTGTTCAACTCCTACGGCGTGTGGAACGACCGGAGAGACTGCCGGGTGCTGAACGCCACGTACCCGAAAACAGAGCAAGAGCTGGTTTCCGCCGTGGCTTATGCCAATAAGAACAAGCTGAAAGTGAAGGTCGTCAGCAAATTCTCCCACACCATACCGAAGCTAGCTTGCCCTGATGGCGGCGGCGGCGGCGGAGGGGGAAGGAATTCAATGCTGATCAGCACGTCGGAGTACGGCTCTGGGATTGAGATCGACGAGGCCGGTTTGGCCGTGACGGTGGACGCCGGAGTTGGGCTGCGGCAGCTGATTGATGCGGTGGAAGCGGCGGGGCTCAGCTTGGCTGCGTCGCCGTACTGGGAAGGTGTGAGTGTTGGTGGGCTGATCAGTACTGGCTCGCACGGCAGCTCGTGGTGGGGGAGAGGCGGAGCTGTTCACGATCATGTCACCGGCGTTAGCCTCGTCGTTCCGGCGAAGCCGTCTGAAGGGTATGCCAAGGTGGTCAGGATTGGGGAGAAAGATCCTCTCTTTAATGCTGCCCGGCTGTCCTTGGGAATGCTCGGCGTCATCTCCAAGGTTAGTTTTCAGCTGGTAATTTCGTCGAACAGTTGGCTGAGTGGTTGAAAGTTTTTGAGTTGCCTGAAACTTTTCTGCAAACAGGTGACGCTTTCGCTGGAGAGAGGATTCAAGAGAAGCATAACGTTCAATTTCAGCGATGATTCTCAATTGGAGGAGATCTTCATGAGCCATGCTAAGGAGAATGAGTTCGGCGACATTACCTGGTATCCGTCGAGGCATACTGCGGTTTACCGGTACGACAACAGAGTCCCGTTGGAATCCGCCGGCGACGGATCCTTCGATTTCCTTGGATTCCAAGCCAACTCTATCCTCATCTCGAAATCAACGAGAGCCATAGGTTGGTCTCTCTCTCTTTTTTTTTTTTTTTTATCCCCAACAGGATGCCTGCCTCTCTAGTATTCGATGAAATGCCTCTGTAACAATTCCCAAAACCTCCGCAGAGAAATCACTGGAGAATTCACGAAACGCGAAGGGGAAATGCGCCATGGCGAGCACATTCATCGGCGCGAAGAAGCTGATAGCGAACGGGCTGAAGAACGGCCTGATCTTCACCGGATACCCGGTGGTCGGCCGTCAGGGGAAGATGCAGAGCTCGGGATCCTGCCTCTACTCGCCTTCCTACAGAATCGACGAATCCTGCGCCTGGGATCCACGAATCAAGGGGCTATCCTTCTACGAATCGACGGCGATCTTCCCGGCCACCAAATTCGCCGATTTCATCCGCGACGTGAAGAAGCTCCGCGACCTGAACCCCGACAACTTCTGCGGGGTCGATATCTACAACGGATTCCTGATTCGTTTCATCAAGGCCTCGCAGGCTTACCTAGGTCAGTCCGCGGACTCCGTGGTGGTCGATTTCAATTACTACCGCGCCGACGATGCGGCGACGCCGCGGCTGAATCAGGACGTGTGGGAGGAAGTGGAGCAGATGGCGTTCGGCAAGTACGGGGCGCGGCCGCACTGGGCGAAGAACAGGGACGCGGCGTTCGGCGGCGTGAAGGGGAAGTATTCGAATTTGGGGAAGTTTGTGGAGGCGAAGAGGCAGCTGGATCCGGCGAATTTGTTCTCGAGCGGGTGGTCGGAGGGGATGATCGCCGGTGAAGCGGCGGCGGTGGCGGCGAAGGGGGAAGGATGCGCGCTGGAAGGGCGGTGCGTTTGCTCCGATGATTCGCATTGCAGTCCGGCGAAAGGGTATTTGTGTAAGGAAGGGCTTGTCTATCAGGAAGCCAGGGTCTGTCGTTATTCTTCTTCGTCGTCGTTTACTTCCACTGTATAAATTCATTTTTTACTGTTCACTAAGGGTGTGTTTGGATATGTGGATTTTAAATGTAAGGTATTTGAAATATTAGCATTTGAAATGGATGTATTCGAAATATTAGCATTTGAAAATACATGTAATTCAAATTCATTGTTTGGATACTCATTTGTAATTTGTTTGTATTTTGTATTTTATGATTTTCAATTTCAATTTTTAATTTTCTGGTCACTTACTACAGATTTTGGTAAATTACAGTTTGGTACCCAAAATTATTTTTTCTTACAATTTAGTACCTAAACTTTTAAAATTTTACAAAAAGGTCCTGAAATTTTGATGGTAAAATTACATTTTGGTACCTTTATATGTTTTGCCTCACACTATAGTACCTAAACTTTTCATATTTTACGAATAGGTCCATTCTTTTGTTAGGAGGTATTTCAAATCACTAGTTGTTGAAATGTATTTGAAGTTGACAAAAAATACACTAGACGTGTATTTGGAAATCACCCCATGAATTTGACACAAATCCAAATACCAAATGTAATTAATATCCAAACACATGATTTGGTATTTGGAAATCCAAATCACAAATACCAAATCCAAATCATTGTATCCAAACGCACCCTTAGGGAAATGTGCTAATAATTATAATTTTTTTTAAAAAAATTATGGCTTGAACAATGATTTTTTTTTACTGATTTAAGCTTAGCTTAATGAGATTATTTATGCCTCCAAGAAAATACGGGATTAATGGAAAAAAGACAGATTGAAAGAACTCTTTTTTTAAGTGGAATTCGAGTTGCTTTCAAAAATCTTGGAAAAATACTTTCTTTTTGCCATCATCCGAGCGATCAGTTATGGAAAGCAATGGTACCAATAAAGATTAATAGGTTGTTATTCATCTCACTTTAGTTTCTCTGTTTGGAATGATAAACTCGGCGCTCCGTTTCTACTACTAAATATACACGCAAAAACGTGAAAAATTAGTCTCAATGGAATGTTCTGTCCCACATATGGTACAGTTACAACGAGAGAGCAATTAAGTACTCGATGGACCACCTAATTAATAAGAGCCATCATGTATCTTTATGATATGCCACATTATTGAAAGGTATTATTGGTGTCGATCTATAGCATTAATTGGATCATTTATGACTGTATATGGAGACTTCCCAAGCTCAAATTGGTAGCTACCACAAGTCATGGCGCCCTTAAGCTTAAGCTTTCCTATTTTTAACCAGATGAGCAGAAGCTTTCTCTTTCGTGGATTCTAAGCAACTACTACTACTACTACTACAGTGACAGTGAGACTTTTACCGGACTTTCTTTTCTTGTTTTGGTTGCATGCAGATCGAGGAAAGCTTCAACGCAACCCTAGCAATTTTACCCATCTTCCTGTGGCCATGCATTGCTTTACAGCTTTCACCATGGAATAATAATAATAATACCCTTCAAGCTAAGTTTCTGGCTCAACCTGATTGTCATCATGCAGTTTCTTGTATTCTGCTGCTGCATGTTACTGCATGCAGAAACAAGGAAGAACGGTTTCGTCTTCTCTAATCAATAGAGTAGTTGCACCACCGCCTAACACCATTTATTGTGGTGCTGGCTTCCTTTATGATCTCTGCACTGTCGAATTTAATTGCCTTCTTCTCATACAGTTGGGATTCTACAGTCTTCTTCTCCGAGATCTCCACCAACCATCTCCAACAAGGCAAGAACCATCATTATGGCAAGAAAAAGAATGTAACAAATCAGGTCAATATAACGTGCATCAGACATATTACCCCAGCCAGGGGGAAAAAAGGCAGTAGAACTATTACATCTGAACTGAAATGATCAATGGCTGACCCTTATGATTAAAAGGGAAGGAGCATCATTTCCCGGGGCGGAAAGGGAGTGAAATAAGAAGCAAGCAAGAGTAAATAAACTGATAGAAAAAAAGGTTTCACTATGATGAATCAAACATTCATTCAGATCATTAGCCTGATCCTTAACAAGCTTTTCCAGCAGCTAGCTAGCTAAAAGTAAGAGTACTCCTGCAAAGCTTATTCCCCTTTGTGACAGCATAATAATCACATACTATTGCTGCTGTTACTACTACAACTACGTAATCAACAACAACAACATCAAGACAAAATTCTACAGCTGTGTTCTGTATGGCTGGCTCCATAAACAAAGTCAGCTTCTAAATGTTCTTCAACATCAAAACATAACATTGTCCTCTTCTCTGTTTCCTGCTCAGGTGGAATTGAGAGAGTGAGCACAAAACCATCATTGCGGCCACATTTTCCCCGGATACGAGGGAAAGTGAGGTTCTTTCAACCAGAACCCTCACAGGGTACTACAGTTCTCGAACAAACACACACACACACACACGCCACAGTCGTAATAGAATCTCATCAGGTCTCCGAGAAACTCCAAAAACTATGTCTTTGCTTTGTGGGGATGGAGATGGTATATACAAATTGTTTTGAGACTTCCACCCCCAGCGGATGATGGTTACCTTTAATATAGAAAGAACCCTCGAGAGCGCAAAAAACCAATATGGCGCTTCGTTGTTCCAGTTCGTTTAATTGCACTTCTTGCACAATCCTCTCATGTACCTTGCACTTTATTTTGCTAAAGGTGGCCAAAAGGTGCAAAGCTTTCAACTTTCTGCAACCAGGCAACATTTTGTTAGATAAAAAGAGAGAAATATGAAACAAAGAAGCTGGTGAAAATCATTTAAGAGATGAGCACATAGTGATTACCAGCATCAAAATATCAGGAACCTGACTACGGGTTCAGATGATGTTTCCCACGTCCTCTTATTGCAGCAAGCTTCTTCTGCCGCTTTTGCTCACCTCCATCTGCATCCAGGAATTTCAGATCTTTTGGACCTATCATGTAAGGGTTTCCAGGCCCTGGGTAGCTAAAATCAGCAGGGTTCCGGTTTATTCTGCAGGTTTCTTGAAGCTCCAGTGTGTGTTTCTGGGGATGACCAGTTGTGTTAGTCTTAGAACCCGCCTCTAATCTGTATTCTATTGATGAGGAGAACTTTGATGCTTCTTGCATTTGGAAGGGAAGCCTAGAAGAAGAATCTGAAGAACCAAGAATCTTCTTTCGAATATGAACTGGACTAGACCCGGAAAGCTGAGGGATACCACCACGCCTGTTCTCTGCAAGTGAATCCATGTCTTCTTGTCTCCTCCTAGTCTCTTGAGAAACTTGGCTGCTGAAATCGATAGCCTTCTTGAAACCTCTACTATCGAGTTGAAACGAAGCAGAAGATCCGATTCTCTGGGAATTTGCTGGACCATGTTGCTGGAAACCCCTTGTGAATTTGTTTTCACTGCCATGATCATATGGAAGAGTTCTCATCACTGAATGATGCCCATCACGAGTGGTAGACGGGCTTTCTTGATTCACTTGTCCATTGGATCCCAGTCCTGCATCCATGAGGCTGAGTAAATGCATAGCTGAAATTGTCTCGTTTGAATATATGTCAGCGTTCCCTGCAGGCTTCTGATTAAGCTCTATCATGTTGGTGTTACTCCTACGAGCAGGTGGATTCTCCAAATGTGATCCCCTCCTTGGTGTTTCAGAACCATAGCTGTTACTACCTTGTCTCCGAAAGCTTGTAGCATTCTGATTCAGCAACTTGGGGTCATTAAACATGAAAGGCAAGTTATGACTCGGTGCCATAGTTCGCCGCGAGTGATTTGCTTCTTCACTCCATGAACCTGTCGTGTGGTGGGAACTACTCTGAACTGGAGGCCCCTTGGTCGAAAGGTTGCGTAACCATTGCAAATGTTGACCACCAATTTGCCTCCCAGTGGAAGAGGCAGCATTTTGGGGTGTGCCTGATGGATACTGGCGCTGTAGGAATTCTGCGTAGCCCAAGGGTGGGGGGCAACTTTGCTCTGCTTGGTTTATGAAGAATTGGGATTGATCAGGAAGCTGAGCAACAGACTTCTGTTTGGCGGGTGGTCTTGAATTCTCGCTCCACTGAATCATTCCATTTCTTCCATTTTGAGCCAATAGCTTTTCTCTGAGAGCCTCGTGATAAAACCGGTGTGTGTCCACGACATGTCTATTGCCAAAATCCAATGTCTGATGACCCCTGCTGCTGTCGGCTTGAGCATCAGGAAGACACCTCTCGTACTGATTCTTTGCCATGAGTTCAACAATTTCCATAGGGATATCGTCTGAAGCGGGAGCTTCAGATGCTCTACTACCAGCTCTCAAGTCAATATCCCTTCTTTTGCCAGAAGCATGCGCCTGAATTCCAATGGACTTCTCATTTGAGCTTGTACTGGCAACGTCCTGGAACAAAGAGGATTCACAGATCTTATTTAATAAAAACAAGGAACTGTAAGAAAGGTCAATAAGCAGGAATCGGGGATGTGTGGAGCTATGAAACAATCCAAAATCAATTCAGGAAGATCATGATATGCAAGGTAATATGGATTGCATTTCTCTTATTGCACTGATATATCCAGTAGCTCAATCTACCTGTAATTAACAATGCTCCTTCAATTATTAATCCAGAGAAGTGAAATTCCAAAGGGAAACATCATGACTACCTTTCTCTGCATATGGAAACCTCCCATCTCGACTTGGGAGCTATAGTTATGTGCCGCACCAAGGAAAGAATGCATGGGTTGCTTCCTTCTCACGTCACTTTGTATTCCACCAAAAGGTGGATGCATTGGAGATCCATGACTCGAAGAAAACATCCCAACATATTGTGTCTGTTCATCTTTCCTCGTGACCTGTTCGTTGGAGGTCATTCTGATATGCTCGCCGAACAAAAAGCTCTGCCTGTCATGGACACTATTATACGTCCTTTCGGGTTGATGTCTGGCTGTGTAAATGTCAAGAGAAAGATTAAGCCCTCTTTCACTGGAAAAATCTTGGTTAGCTTGATCATGCACAGGCCTAGTTTGCATAGTACTCTCAGATTCCCGCACTACTAGACCCTCTCGAAGCATGCTGAGATTTTCACCAAATAGACCCGGCTTGCCTTGCTTATTCTTAACAGAACTAGATTTTCCATCAACATATTGAGCACGGAGAGGGAAAAGATCTATCTCTCTACCCGCATTTAGATTCTCCACAGGCTTTGGTGCAGCATGACCAGTGGCATCCGCCACACCACAAGCATTATCTCCGATACTAATCTCAGTTACTGTCGGAAAACTTTCACGAGATGGTGGCGCCAAGGACAGACTGTCATCATCAGGAACTACAACACTTTTATCTTTCTGCTTGCCCACAGCTCCACTGTTTTCAACTCTTGATTTGCTAGAGTTGCTTTTTGTACTACTTTGTTGAACCACTTTGTTTCTCACATCTGCAACTAATGCAGAATTGAAACTAGCCTCTTTGTTGGAAACCTTCTTACTCATGATAGCACTATTTGTGCCTCTAACTTTGCTAGAATTGCCTTTTATACTACTTTCTATAACCATTTTGTCTTGCACATCTACGACTGAGTCAGAAGTCAAAGCCTTCTTCTTCTTGGGAATATGATCAACAGCTTTCTTCAGAATTCTGGCTCTGCTCACCTTACTGGAAGAAGGATTCGACTCAGGGGTACTCCACTGATCATCCCGAGGAAATTTCCGCTTCTTGTATGGAATCAAAGTCCTTTTGGCAGAACCAATTCCTTCAATTTCCACTTGATCATCCGGGGAACCAGGAGGTTTATCATCAACTTCTGCAGGCGCATAAGGAACAACATTTAAGGAGGGAAGAGAATCTGCAGCCTTGAGGGAATCAGCACTTTCATGTACTCCCTTCTCGCACAACAAATCAGTCAGTAATCGGATCTTTCGAGTTTTTCTACGACGAGGACCACTTGAATGATCACGATGAGAAGACTGAGGATCATGATCATTCTTGACCCCAGTCTTCTCAGCATCTTCGGATGAGCCATAACCTGCTTCCATGGTATCTTGTGCACTAGCATTGTCACCTTTCCCTCTAGTACATGAATCAGAAACATGACCAGAAGCCACATATTTTAAACGAACTGTCAAGCTTGTGTGTTTATCATGCCTGGAGTTTCCCTTTCCTGTTTCAAAAGTTTCGACCGAGTCCTTGATCACCATGGAATCGAGGTTCCTACTGGGATCATCAGCTGCCACCTCATGATCTACACAGCCTGCTTTAAGTGAGTCAAACAGATTAATTGAACCGATCACAAAGAAAACCAATTTCACAGCAATGACCACATAATCTACAGCCAGAATACAAAGTCCAAAAGTAAACAAATCAAGGCACTTACTAGAGTTAATCCGCATATTGCTCGGACAGATTTCAGTTACAACTGTATCTCCATTCAGATGATGCTTTAACCGAACAGTTTCTCCTGGAGGGGAAAAGAGAAAGAATACAGCACCAAAGAACCAACAAGGTCAAATCAATGAGTAAATACATCCAGACACTGACAAACATAGACCACTGAGACAAATTAATTACCTGAAATCGATGTCCCCGGGGCATTCGTTAACTTATTCTCACTCTTATCAGTAGTACTCAAAAGATCATCTTTACTTAATCCTTCCACATCATCTAATCCTGAGGGTTTCTGCTTCAACATTAGCATTGGAGCAGCAACTACTGTTGTTGGTAGGGGAGAACTGCTAGTTCTTTTCCCAGAACTACAAGGCTTAAGAAGAACTGCAGAATGCTGTATGTTCTTAACAGGCCCAATTTTCTGCGAGCAGTACTCACAGCGCCAGTATCTAAATAGCCGTTCATCTAAAGGAGGAAGCACTTGACGATGATCATCCTCACAATCTGCAGTATTGGCTTGAACTGGTGAATCAAATGGCCAACACTTGCTGATGTCTTTCTCTCGGACTTCAGATACATAACCACTGCAATTTTTTTAAAAGCGAGATCAGATGACTGCTAGAGAATCAAATGAATCGTTAATCTTTTTGGACAAAGGAAAAAATGAACATTGCATGTAGCACAGCTGATATTTCAAGTTTGAGATCTGATACTATACAGCAGTAAAGGGAGTCTATTTCCTCAATCCAACTGCATGTAGTGAGTCCTTTGGATGCTGCATTTATTCAGTTAACAGTCACAATAATCTTGAAGGAATGAGGTACAGCTTAGGATTGTAACATAGAAAAGGCCAGCAGCTTATGGAACTTGATGCATGGTAATAACCAACACAATTCATAAACACATGTAGTCCTAATAATCGAATAATGTCGTTTTAATAGGCATAACTTGAACTACATACAGCACTTGCAACACAAAACCAAACTATAACATAGTGTTGCAAGATTAACTTTGAAATCATCTCTACTAACCGGATCGAGAAATGGTGGCACTTTTCTGCAGTACTATTATCCTCCTTAGGAGCACCGAGCTCTATATATATCGAGTTAATCTTAATGGGAGACTCCATCCGCTTCTGCACAACGACATGATCAGCTTTGCTACTTTGTTGATTCTCCTCCTCCTCCTCCATATTACAATCACTTCTCTCCATAATGATCACAAACTCTTCAATCACACTACACAACCACCATCACAAGCATATAGAGAGAGAATCAGATTACCACCATAACAACACTGAAATAGTACCAAAGCACAAAACTTTATCAGAATGCAGCAAAGCAAAGCAAACAAATTAGGGTTTATGAACAGCTGCCATATGCCTTCCTTCCAAATTAACATACAAAATTAGATTCATTAGTTGCACAACATTCCATTCTCCTCCAATAACATTATTCTATAACGAGAAAATCATTAAAGATGCAATCACTAAGGGTAAGTAAGAGCAAAATTCCTCACATAAAATCACAACATATTTGAACTACAAGAAAGCTAAACACAGCATGCAACCAACAAGCAACTCCAGCAAACCCTAGATCTTCAGTAACCACCTCATTTCCATTAATAATCCCATGAATTAACAAACAACCCAAGTAACTGCCCATATTTGACCTTTTAGCTGCAGAAATTAGGGTAAGTAAGCCTTCAACAAGCACAAACACAAAAGACATTAATTAGGGTTGAGATTTCCCTCCACAACCCACAAAGCTATCGAATTTCCTCCACCACAAAGCAAACCCACATATCAAAATCCAATCTTTAGCACAATCGCAGCAACTAAATGAAAAAAAACTAGGGTTTTCCCCAGCTTCAAAAAACGAGTTTGAGCTGCCCAAAGTAATAAACCGAAATATCCACGACCCAACCCCAAAAATAATTAAATTCACACTGCATGAAATAATTAACCGCCGTAATTTCACTCCAAAAAAACCCACTTCGAAGCTCAAGCGTCGGCCCCAAGAGCTAGAAGCAGCGTACGAAAATGAACAGTGGAAATGAAAAATGGACTTAAACAAAATGAAATGGAAAAAAAAAAAGAAATCTTTTATTTTACCACCCCGATATCTAGCTAGCTGGAGACACTCAGCTAACAAATCGAACGACCCGAAAACCCGAATCCGAAGACCCGCCCACCCGCCAAATCGAAACCCAGCAGATATCCAATCTTCTCGAGCTGGGTATCAAGCAGAAATTTTTTTAAAAAAGAAAAAAAATTAAGAAAGGAAGGAACTTTACACAGCGATTCTCCGCGGCGAGCTGGGAAACCGGTACTGCCGGATAGAGAATTCTCCGGCGGAGTCTTCTCCGGCCGCCGGCGGCTGAGATTCGTAGCTGGCTGAGCAGAATTAGAGTGCGAAGTTCCGAGAAACCCTAGGAAGAAGGAAGAGAGAGAGACGGAGAAGAGGTTTTCGATTCTTCAGGGAGAAGAGAGAGAGAGAGAAAGTGTGTGTGTTGTCTTTTTTTCTTTTTTTTATCTTTCTCTTGTCCCTTACAAAAAGCAGGTTTTGCTGTCGTGATTTTAAAATAAATGAAATATAAAATATAAATAATTATTATTTAATTTTTTTCGCCCATGCCATGTCATAAACGCCCTGCTAGAGAGAGAAACGAGGGACAGAAAGGATGAGAGAGAGGTACTGTCCAATCAAATCCCGGCACGTGTCGTGGATGTGCGGTTCTTATCACCATTCCATTATTTAAAAAAAAAATTTAATTAAAGGAAATAGACAATAAACCCTAGCGCCAACTTTTGGATCCGACGCGCTTCGAGGGGATTCCTCCTGATGGTGTCACGTCGTCGTGGGGCCCAGAGCGGCGGATGGCAGGGAGGTGGAGAGCACGCGCTGGGGTGGAGGGTGGGGTTCGTGGGAGGTGCTCTCTTACTTTGGTTGGACAAACCCTAATTGAAAAAGGACGCAACGTAATTGAAAATAAAATAAAAAACGATTTAGGAATAGATGGACAACAAGGGTATAATGGTAAATGTATATTCGGATGGATCTAAGGGCATATCTAACCCTAATCAGGTTAGGGTGTGTGTCTGCCCTCCTCCCTAGGGATTATTATTTTTGTGCTTGGAGAGTGGCCACGGCATGGGTCACGCTCGAATACCCGATAAATATGGGATCATTTTGTCGAGTTCTATAACATCGCGTTCGATTAACAAAGATAAATCGGAAATTTTTAGTATGAGGTTTACTTTTTTTTTTATTGTTGAGTTAGAATTTCAAAAACGTTTTCGATTGTAGAAATGGAGCGCAGATTTGAATCTCCAAATTTTTTGATTCGCACAACAATATATATGTCTATATGAATACAAAGGCAAACGAAATGACAAATGGAAAAAAAAAAACTAGTCATCAAAAGACAGGGTTAAGATACCGAGATGTTGTAGATCTGCAGCCAGAGATGGTCGAATCGCCTCCGAAGAATGTAAATCTGAATTGACTTGGGAGACGGCCGGTGTCACTACACCCTGTGGTGTGTATATATATGCAAGTGCATTGAGATTTGACAAATAAATACTATGGCAAGTCAAAAAAATTATTAATGATTTCTCTTGTTTTGGGGAATCTATAGAAGGGTTAATTCTTATTTCCTTCTTTATAGTTGTCTATATAATTTTGTTCTTCTTGCCAAATTTTTAGGTTCATTGTCTTGGGGGAAATATGTACAACATTAAAATTTTGGATTTTATTTACTATCAACGGATGGTAAATAGTATATATTTTTTTTAAATAATTATACTACCGTATACCACAATTTTTCTATAGTTATCATCGTATACATTGGAGCGGAATTAGATTATAAGCTCTGTCGGTACATTTCAATACGTAGTGAAAATTATTGGAAAATAGTGAAATGTATCGTGTCTATAGGCCACTTTATGTATGGTTACCCATTTCAAGTCATAAAAATACATTTTAAGTAATTAACCTAACAAATAAAAGAATATTGAAAAGGATGTCCTTTTTAGTTTTGTTGTACCCCAAATCCTATACGGTTAAAGCTATAGGTTCGAACCTGACATCTCAATGTCACAAATTTGATATGATACCGTCAAACTATAAATGCGTTGATATATCAAAAGGGTCTTCGTTTTTGAAGGATAAATGTTCATCAAAATTCAGGATAATTGTCATATAACTTTGCTTTAATCGATTCATTTTTATTTTTTTTTATTCCCGAGTCCAAATTGAAGTATCTTGGTCACTCATTGCAGAAACTACCTAGCTTGTGTGTGTTTGTTTATTTTTTACGGAATTAATGGATTATTATAATATTTAACTGATCACCCAGAAACACCATAATGAGCGTATCGGGTGCCCTACCTACTGCACATATATGGAAAACCTAAATCGAATCATGCCTAAGTGTGGATTGCACGTCAAACCATAACTTTCAGTTATGGAGTGAATGGTAAAAAGAGATACTTTTCTAAAATAAAATAAAAAGGTAAAGAAAGATACATTATATGAGAACTCAATGATGATACTAGTTGTGTGCAAATCTCGAATAACAAATTAATTATCCAGATATTCGAACGAAATTCTCTAAGAGAAACAGGATACCCGATCGAGGAAGTGGATGTCGTCGCGTCTCCGCTCCATGGCAGCACCATCAGAAATGGAGGTCGCTTCCCTTGGTCGCCCCGAGGGGCACACTAGCTACAACTGTCGTACGACTCCTAGAACAAGCATTCACAGCCATCCTCTCTGACTGGAGACAGTTTGGTCTCCTCGAGACTCTCAATGAGATATGCAGTGTAGATATCCATGATCTCATTCGTTCACTCTAACCCTATTGATGTCACGCGATTTTCAAGTTGTTTGGTCAGCACAGATCTTCGGTTTGAAATGATTAAGTGCAATTGTTAACACTGTCATCACACCTTATCTTAGCTAATTCATCATTGTGATGAATTAGCTAGATTAAATCATTGATACTCTAACCCCATTGATGTCACTACTTTTTCAAGTTGTTTGGTCGGCACAGATCTTCAGTTTGAAATGATTAAGTGCAATTGTTAACACTGTCGTCACACCTTATCTTAGATAATCTGATTCATATGTATAGTTGTTGTGGTAGAGTATTAATGATTTAATCTAGCTAATTCATCCCAATGATGATGAAGTTGATCGAGTTACAACAAAAATCTTAGAAAATTACATGATGATCACAAGGCTTTCCCATTGCATGGTAGGTGTGTCACGCCATAATGGTGGCATGTGTATATATATAAGAAGGGAAACCTTAGGAACCGTAAATACACGTATTATGAAAATGCATGAATTTGATTAAAGTAGATTCTATAAACAAGTGAATTCATCTACAAATTACGTACATTTGCCTTTGCCGGAAAAACGAATGATCCCGGCCGGCGAGAAACAATTTCGGGGAATGCATGCATGTAATGTAATTAACGAACGACGGACGCCAGTATATGTACGAGTCTTGTTAAAAATTAATTAACTTGATGCTGATTTAGCAATTATAGCATGAGAACAGTCAGTATAAGTACGAATCTCGTTAATTAATTAATTAATAGATTAATTAGCGATTAGTTTGATGAGCTGGCTCGTTTTAAGGAGAAGATTCCGCTCCCACTCCAGCCGGACGGCCAGCTAACCAAAGATCCACAAAATTGTCGTTCAAAGACAGTTTTTTTTTTCTTCTTAATCACGAAGACAAAATTGTTCTACACATAAGTGGCTAATACGTAACCTAAGACGGACAATAACATATGTCACAAAATTACACAGAAAACGGTGGATGAGAGTCGACGGAGATCGACATTTCGATTCCTCGAATAAAATTAGCATTCATTTTTAATTTCAAACCGTATTGGCGCGGTAATGCATATGCTTATATAGTTATAGATTACCAGCTCGTGCTGCTGGATCAACCAGCGCATTTTACGATAAAATCCGCACATACTAAAGAACCAACTACATATGTATATCTTCCTGAACCCCATCTCTTGGGACTAGCTTGGAACAATATTAAAGGACTCCTATCAACTCATAGTCCCTCCAACGAAATCTTACCGGTCATCAAGAACCAATTAGTTCCAGTAAGGCAATAACTCGAATTGCGCTGAACGAAATTTAATTATGAATCTTATACACCATTCACTATAATTATCACCCTCCATAATTGATTGTAGTGAACTAGTCATCTTTCTCCCTCTACCAAGTACCAACCAACAAGTATATCCAGTAGAGAGAGAAACAATATAGGGAGAGAGAGAGAGAGAGCGATGGGAAATGTGGCATTGCGGCTAGGGGTGTTCAAATGGTTACAATGGTAATAACCAAACCAAATAAGTCTAAAATCTATTAACTATGGAATATAATATCATAACCAAACCGTCCAAACTAATACAACAACCAATTTAACCAAACTAAAGTTTATTCGATTTGGTTAATTGGTTAACCAAAATAATCAATATAACAACACATTATCATTAAGTGAGGAAAATTTTTCAGTTAGTGCATCAATTTGCAATTTATATAATGAACAACACATAACAATCCACATAATTGTAGTTAACCCTTAACGTAAATACATGTAACAAATACAATTATCTTACATATGACTCTTGAGTGGTTATGCAGAGTATTAAGTATGTGTATATAATATATATTAGATATATGACAAATTACTTAACTGGTTAATTTGGTTTGATTGGTTAGGAGTGCCTGAAACCAAACCAAACCATCTAAACCAAACAAGCTAAATTTTTTAACCAAACCAATTTAGCCAAATATTACTGGTTAAAATGGTTACCACGATAACCACACCGTTTGAACACCCTACCATCCTTTTTTGTTGCTTTGCTTTCTTTGCTTTCCATACCATTACTGTTTGCTGCTGCGACCAGAAGAACAGAGGACAATATCAGTGGCAGTGGTGAGTCCCATTGATAGCTGCGTTGAAAATCGATTGTTGTTATTATGATATCTTTTGTTGTTTTGGTTGTGTTGTGTGTGTGGGATCTATATGAAAAGGGAAAGGGGTAAAATTTCTGATGTGTCACTAAAAGTCAGAAAACCCAACATTTTGGTCGAAGCATGGAGTTAAGAAGGGCCATGGCCCATGGCGTAGGGTACCCTTCATTTCACTAAAATGAAAATGGGAGTACAAGATCGAAGAAGAAGAAATAATTGAAGGAAGCCAGGTTATATATAGAATAATTTATCCCTATATCGTTAGTAAGAAAACACTATTCAGACGTTGAAGTAATCGATATTGTTTGGGGGTATGATACTATATCGTAAGCTTTACTGAGTAAAATTTAAGCCCTAATTCTCTATCTTGTATCCTTAAAATCACTTCAATAAAAAAACAATAATCGACGATTTTGATTCGTTGAAATATATCCAACATACTATAATACACCATCTCAGCGTTTACGATGAGGAGTTTAGAGAATTGAAACCTGGATTTCACTCATTAAAAGGTTAAAGTATAATATCGCGTCTCAAAATTCAGGTTAATTCACATTCTAAGGGGTGGGGTACCTTGACGGAGAAATTAAGGAAGGTGTGATGTGGGATCGGAAAGTGCTTGGCTTTGTCCCCACCGGCCACCAGCCCCACGCCGCCCCAAAATTAAACCTACTTAATTAGCTTAAGTACTTAACCCTTTTTGTTAATTATTATATTTCCCTGTCTGATACATTAATCCAACCGCCGTTACCATATTTAGCGGGAATTGAATTATTATAAGATAATAATATTAAACCACAGTTAATTATCCGCTGTCATCATCAATTCCATTCCGCATATATACAAACAAAAGGAAACACACAGAGCGCGCGCAGACAGTGAGAGAGAAGACCGGCGTTGACTGAAGGTCCGAACTTACCGGCCAGCAGACTGTTCGTCAAATCCTTGCAGCTTTTTTTTCCGTCGAAATCCAGGCTGCAGATATGACTGTTCGCTGAGAGGCAAAAAGGTACGTAGGGTTAGGAGTTAAGTCGGCCCGGTTTAATTAGTAAGAGTTAAACGTTAGATTCGATCCAACCGGTTTAGGTTGTTGAGAAACCGGCGACCCATATGGGTTAGAACCGCTTCCCCCCTGGTTCCTTCCCTGCTCGCCGCTGCAGCAGATTCCGCGGCGGAACTGTTACCGCGCGCCGGTCACGTCGATCGAGTAGCTAGTAGCCCAATTCTGTTCAATGGAGAGAGGTTGCAGCATGCATGGGACTTTAATTTTGAGATCGAGTAACAACTTTTGGTAATTAACACAGATTCATAATTAATTAACCATTCGACTGTAAAATTTTAGTCATCGCGCCGCCTTATCGAAGCCACGGTCGAAAGGTTATAAAACATCTGACAATTCTGTATATTTAACGGGTCGCGCTTATCACATACGTGATTCTCTACGTACGATTAGAGACATGGGAATGAATATATACCCGTTGTGCAGCGCGTCATATTTGTTGCAACTTAATTAATTCGATCTATTGTTCTATAGACTACGCACAATAGTCCATTATACACAAATACATTGCGTACCAATTTATGTGTGCACACGATTGATCGTACATTTTGTAGATAAACTAAGTAAGAGATTTAGATATATCGTTTCCACCGCGCTTAATTAAGATCAAACTAAATCTCACGTCAAGGATCAATCATGCTCATCAATCTATTTGAATTGATCTCTCATATTGTTACCAAATGAGTAGCTATCCATAATACGTTCATTTTGATCAAATTTCACAATGGTGACAAATAACTGAGAGAATACACAGACAAAAGATATCATAATAATACTTGATTGGCAAAAAAATAGCGGAGTATCGACATGATTAATATACGAGAGAAAGGTTGAGACCAATGTAGTTAAAATTGTGATTTAATACTTAAAAACTTACACTTTTAAGCTTTAAGGTCACCAAAATGCTTCAACGCAGAAGCTCAGTTTTTATAACTATAGTTAAAAACACATTTAAAAATTTATGGTTTTACGCTTCTAGATCATCAAAACGTTTCTACTTAAAAACGTGCTTTTGACTAAATTGGTTGAGACTATGGTTAGTGTTGGTTTATGTGTAAAAAAGTCGATAGTATTGAAATGACAGTATCCAAACATTCAGTGACTGAAATGGTAAGGAAAACTATTGGAATGGCTAAAGTTGGAATAAGGTTGAATTAGTGGGGGGCTTAATCGCATCCCTAAAATTTAATTTTAAAAAATCATTTGAATTTCAAACCTCATCCGTTGATCAAACGTAAACCCTTTTCTATAACTGCACAACGAACCAACTCGAGTCGTACACGTGTCCTCCCCAACTGAATCCACCAACCTCATTCGGAGTCGATTACCGCCAAATTCCCCTCAAAGTCATCCGCAAAAGCCAAAAAAACCCCTTTTTTTTTCTTCTCAATCCAACGGTTCATGTCTCTTCCACCGTCGTTCCACAACTTTCAAGCTGCACCGTCGGATCATACACACAGTCAGCAATCAGCATCTCGCCCTCCAATTCCGCAAATTAAATTTTCAAAAAAAATTCGACGAGGGATTTAAATAAAATCAAATCCCAAAAAAACCTGTGCTTCTTCTCAGTCGCTTCCCCAGTCCCCTCCACTTCCTCGAACTCCCGGCTCCTCCATTGATGAGCTCCCGCAGACGGCGGAGATCTTCTTCTTCCGCTGCATCGTCGTTCTGGTCCGGAGCCTCTTCCCGCCTTCACAGCTCGCAGGGATTGACGAGAGAAATCGAAAGGACGAATTGCGAATTCGACTAGAAAGGGGAGTGGGAGGAAATAGCTCCGGAGAGAACACGTTTCGCCGATTGATTGATTGCTTGCTGAGCGATGGAGCAAGGAGAGACGGTTTCGGATTTCGCGCCGAGGAAATTAGCGCGGCAGCTTGATTTCACGGCCGTCTGTAGAGCGGCGGAGCATGGCTCTCACCTGCTTCAGCAACAGTCGGATTCGATGCTGCAGCTGCATTTGCAGTTACAAACACCACAGCCGAAGTCGAAGCCGCAGCCGCAGTCGCAGTCGCGAGAGCTCGCCGCAGCGGGATTGGAATTACATTTGAATCTGAGGCCGCCGCCGCCGCCAAAGCAGTTACTGCAATCGCGGCCACCACCACAGCCTCAAGCGCAGGTAACGCCGCATTTGCAAGCGAGGCTTCAGCAAGTACCGGCCGCGGCGATGTATCGGATCCCTCATCCTGTACATAAACTGCCACTGCCTGCGTTGCCAGGGTAAGCTTACACGCTAGTCAAATTTGGGGAATCATTGGTGTGCTTAAGAGTATTGATCTTGCTTTGGTTTACAGTTCTAGTGGCTGTTAGTCGTCCTGATTCTTTGTTATATCTTTAATCTTTACTCCCTTCAGCAAGAAGCAAGAATCTCCTATCAGTCGCCATTATCAAAAAAAGAAGCAAGAATCTCCTAGACCACGTCCAAGGGTTGACACTGAGGCAAAAGAGGTCAATGTTACTCCTAACAAGCCTAAGCAGTGTAATTGCAAGAATTCTCGGTGCTTGAAGCTGTAAGTAAAACTCGATTAGTAGCACGTGGATGAAGTTTAGCGGTTGAAATGCTTCACAGTGCATCAATGCTGTTGGATTTTTCTATAGATTCTGTTGATAAGTGTCATTCCTTGTTTACATTGAGATGTCTGCTAGCGGATTTGATTAGGCTGCAGATTTTTTTACTCGGTTATCGCGCGATTTCTTATCTTGTTTGGGCATTGGATTCTAGGGGTGGGCATTGGGTGGGTCGGGTGGATTTTGACCATAAAATGCACCCACCCACGCTTAAACGGATTGATAATTTTTAACCCACAACCCACCCACATTTAGTCTCGGGTTGGGTCGGGCGGATGGTGGATGATGCGGGTGGGTTTGTGGGTTCACCCACATCACAATGTATATAATATAAAGGAGTCAACTTGACATGATAATAGGTGAAGAGAATCATCGAGGGAAACAAAAAGTTGAAATAGGGCGAAAAATGTGGAATTATTTCTTAAATTGGATAGAAATTCTATTATGAAAGAGTTTTCTACAAATTGAGACGATTATTAGGTGCAAAGAACTAAGGAAAATAATTCCACAAAGGAAAGAGCGGTGATCTAGGCACAATAATTAGAGGAAAAAGTAAAGGGAAGAAGAGGTGATCTCTATTTGGAGGGTTGGCTTTGAGGTTCAAACTCCAGGAGCAGTCCGAGTTTATATCTAACGTCTCCACTCTCCTCTCTCTAGCGCCAACGACTTTGATCTTTTTGCTGTTGGGTTGAGCGGGTCACCCGCACACTCACCCACAACCCACCCACCACCCGGCGGATGGCTTCCAGCGCAACCCGTCACCCACCCACAGACCCACCCACTTAATGAAATTCGGGTCAAATGCGGGTGGGTCGGCCCAAATCCGCGGATGATCCACCCGCATGCCCAGCCCTATTGGATTGTGTTCTCTGCTTTCCTTGATTAGCGAAATCTTCCTTGTTTTTTAGGTATTGTGAATGCTTTGCTGCTGGGCTGTATTGCAAGGACTGCAACTGTGTAAATTGTTACAATAATTTGGAACATGAGGGTGCTAGGCAAGAAGCTATTGGGCTAACCTTGGAGCGCAATCCAAATGCTTTTAGACCAAAGATAGCTAGCAGCCCTCAAGGGTCTAAGGCTAGTGTAAGTATGCTGCCTTCATCGAGTTTCAGATCCTTGATGCCAGACTTGAGGATCCTCGTGAATTCGATTGAACAACCATATTGTTTTCTATTGAGTTTGTTTGATGGAAGCTAAGATTAACTTGTAAAAGAAAATTTTATTTGAATTATTATCCTGTTGTTTTCCTGGTTGGTGTTTGATTGTTCTTACCAAACTGTCCATAATCCTTAAAAATGGCTTATGTATGATTATCACTATGTGATTGATTGCCTCAATCATTGACAGGGGAATGCAGGAGAGGTTCAAATGATTGGGAAGCATAACAAAGGATGCCACTGCAAGAAATCGGGTTGTCTAAAAAAGTATTGCGAGTGCTTCCAAGCAAATATTTTGTGCTCAGAAAACTGCAAGTGCATGGACTGCAAAAATTTCGAAGGAAGTGAAGTAAAAAAGGCTATCCTTTGTGGGAATTCTAGTCCCAACATTTATGCTCATCAAGCAGCAAATGCTCCCATCAACGGAGCCGTTGGATCTTCATGCTATGGGACTGCATTTCTATCCAAGAAAAGAAAGAGTGATGACATGTTGAGTTTCAGTTTGAAGTTCCAGCAGGTGAGCTTTTGTAGCCTGTACATGTTTTTTTTTCGTTTTTGAACGGGTTTGTGAGACACAATATTGTGGGTATTTTTAGTGTTTAATTTGGTACTCACAGACAGTTTCTTGTTTACTGCAATCTCCTTGCAACCAAAATTGGCCTCTTTAAGCTGAGTACTGAGTCCATTTCATGATTGTTACGGAAATGTTTGATCTTTATCCTTTTGCTTGAGTCTTCCTTGCGTCTTCATAATTTAAACGCCTTGTTGTGTCTTCTTCTTGCCTTTTCTAAATTGTGGTTGCTCTCAGGAAACACACCTGTACAGTTCCTCTCCATTGCCTGACCAGAGATTCCATACTTCCAGTCCTGCTCCGTTGAGATCTTCAAAATTGAAATACAGGTATGCTTTGCCAATTAGTGTTTATGCAAATCGTTGATCATAGTCTTCCCTTCTGAAGTTAGCGTTCAGAGGGAGTGATTGTGGGCTCTCCATGTCCATGAAGGTCCCCATTGGCTGGCATAATCCAACCGCACCATGTTAAGGAGCTGTGCTCGGTCTTGGTCGTACTTTCAAGGGAAGCTGGGAAGGAACTATCAGGTTTAACTTCTTGTGCAGCAATCTTTCGAACTATCAGATGTTGCCTTCTACATTTCATTTTACTCTATAGCTGGTGCTATTCAATGATTTTCTTCCAACAAACATGCTAAATCCCTGCTCCAGTACTTGGAGCTCGGAAATCTACCTGAAGCAACCGCCTTTAGATCTGTAATTTTCGTAATACTGATTATATACTGTATCCTGAAATTAGTTCGAGCAGAACATGGTTAAGTGAAGTGAAAAGGATGTTTTGGTTGCCCCGTCCTGAAAAATTTGTACCTATTGTTAAGAACAGAAGATAAGCTGTGACAAAGAATGACAAGGGCTGGAAATTTTAAGGCGACCAAGTAGGAAAAGCATGGGAATGGAAAGCGCTGTTATAGGTTGTAGACTAGGAGAAATTTTGCGTCCGATGGGCCGGAAAACTAGTGGGAATGAACATTGATGCCCATTGTTGTTTGCAGCAAAAAGAATCCAACATTTGTGCAGTGCATTGCAGTGTTGTAAATTTTATATAAAAGCCGTAGTTTGCTTTCAAGTCAGATCTTGCATATCACACTTGAATTCACATTTTCCAGATAGGAAAGGCAAGATGGATGGAGTGCCCGAAGCAATGAGGAGTGGCGATTCTTCTGCTCCACCCATTCAAGAGAGGCAGCAAAACGATTGCTTCGAGCAGACTGCAACCGAAAGAGAGGAAACTGCGGATTCTAGGGCAGACATGGAAAATGGAAGACCGTCTTCTCCTGAGATCGAGTCATCCATTTGCGAAGTTAAACCCACCAAGCTGGAACAACCATCATCAACTAACCCTCCTGATTTCTCTGAGGTCTACGCCGAGCAGGAAAGGCTCGTATTGACCGGTTTCCGAGACTTCCTGACCAGACTCATAAGTTGTGGAAGCATAAAAGGTTCTTATCCATGATCTCAATAGTCAGCTCCTCGTCTGTTCCCGTGATTTATATCCCTCATGACACCAAGAAAGGGCTTCTAATTCTTTTGCAGAACAAATGTGTTCTCCGCCAGCCAAAGGTAAAGTGGGGAACCAACAACAGCATGAAGTACATGGTACAGGAATTCATTACAGTCCTTCGTATACAAATGGCATCATCATGTCTCCAGTATCGAGGGCTTCTCCAGCGAATAACGATCGACCACAAGTGATCTCTGCTGCACCATCTCCCATCAACGGTAGGGTACAAACTCCCAACAGCAAGAACTGAGTTTTTGGGTGCACTCCATTCCATGGCAGGATATAAGCTTCCCACCAGCTACAGATGATGCAAGTAGCTCTCACTACATAGAGTGAGAAGAAAAAGGTAAAGAGAAGCAGCTAATCAACAGGAACTAATAGCTCATTTTTACAGATCATTCTTTCACATTCATGTCACCATGCTCGGTGACGTTAAATTGACTTCATTGAGCTAATCAACAATGAAAGCTCTAGCAGGGATGCATCATGCTGATAATACCTTGTACAAACTACAGACGCTGTCTGCAATTCAATGGTTGTCGAGAAAGATGTCTTCTATAGAATGTTACTTTTGGCAATAGTTTAAAATAGAAAAGGTCCTTCCTTTTGTCTCAATTACTCTTATTGATAGCAATCAACTGTTTCCTATCTCAAAGAAAAGCTACTTACACAAAATCGATATTTCAGCATACAACACAGAATGGAAATTTAGGAACCCAAAGGATTAACCATATCGAGAATTATCGTCGTCAACAAACAGAGCAGACAATAACAGTTTTTGCAGTTTCAGCCTTTCTTTGGTGAAGCTGCGAGCCTTGTATACATTCTGGCCATGGACTGATAACCTCTTACATCGCCAGATCGCAGAAGGTTTCCTGAATCACGACATATTTTATCTTAGGATACCGAAAACAAAACTGTGGTGGATGGATCAAGAAGGTATAATCAGAGTAGAAATCTAACTTGCCTGAATCACAGTTCAGAGGGCTATCAGGCTCAGGGTGAGCCATAAGAGCAATGATAGCCCTACAAACCGACTGAAGCGTCCATGCCGGACTCCATGCATTCTTCAAGATGTCCAGACATATCTCCCCAGTCTGTAACAGAAAGATTATCCCCACTAACTTACATTAATAACAGCTTGATAATCGCTTGAGATGCTCTTGAAATGCTCGCTGTTTTTTCATATCAAGATTGTAAGTCCAGAGGTTTCTGAATCCTAAAATCTAGTTCACCTGCCTCTTATTTAATGACTGCCACACAATTCCAAGTATACACAGAGCAATAAACCCTAGCCACTTCAAACAGAAACTTGTACAACAAATTCTAATATCGTCCTCAGATGCCACCAATCAAGTAAATCTTCGGTCGAGAACACATCACAAAGGCTTATATCCAGTGGCGCAAAGATACAGAGAGAACTGAAGGAAGAACACACCTTGAAATGCACATTTGGGTGGAATATTTTCGTCAAGAAACGAACTTGAGGAGGCTGCAAGGGATACTGCTCCGGCACCGCGAAGGCAAGCTGGAAGACCCCACCATCAAAGGGAGTCTCCGAAGGTCCCTGCAAGACGAAATTCAGCACAACCAAATCACTAGTCTGTCTATCGATCTCCATCTGAAAAACCCCAAAGAGCAAAAACCAAAAAGAACTCACCTTTATCAGAGCAGTCCATTTGAAAATGTTGGAATCATCACAAACCAACTGGATATCCGGATCGGCCGATTTCTCCCTCTGCACCTCTTTGTATTCCTTGAACAACCTTGCCCTTGAAGCCTGCAACAACGTCTCCCCAAAAATTGGGAACCATTTACTCACAATTCATCAAGGAAACACGCAAATCTACCTCTCACGAAACTAAAACAACTCACCTGCATGCTTGGCAGTAGCTTTTAGGAAACCCCGATAACAACTGCAGTCAGTCAAAACTGCAAAAGGGTGAACTTTTGTTAAGAAAATCCAAAATTTCCCGCCGGACCCCAATTCATCGTTCAAAACAACGCATCACCCAATCATAAAAGGAACTGGATATTTCCATTAGAGCTAACACACAAGATCGATGAACCAGGGGATGAATTCTGCGTCAACTTAAACGCCATCGCGACGTTGTCAAGAGATCGGAATTAGGGTTCAGAGAAGCATCTATGTATTTTCCGGCGGCGATGTTCAATTGTAAAGGAAGCACAAATATAAAGGAGGCGTACCTGATCGGACACCGCGTCCGGCGCTGATTCTTACAGAAGAAAAGTGTAAAGAAAGGAAGAGAAGAATTTCGAGTTTTCCGTCTCGAGAAACAGATTTAACAGAATTCAATGCCGTCCTCCATTTTTGCTCTTTCCATCGAGATACCTTCGTTCTGGGCCGGCTCGCCAACCGGCCCACAACCCAGGCCCAATTTTCCTGTATGAAAAGACAGAAAACCCCTCACTACTGCCATCTCATCGCCTCTCCGTTGGCGCTCTGTCCTCCTAACCGCAACCGCCATTTCCTCTCTTCCCTCAAATTCCACCGCCGACTCTTTCCCGGCCACCATCTCCACTCTCAAGAGTACTCCGATATCGGAATGGATGCGACAATCATCTCCTCTACGGCGTACTCCTTTCCCGACGTATCGGTCTCTACCCTCTTCTCTCCCGCGCCGCTGGTAAACCTCTGTCTACTCACTTCCCCAAACCCCACCGCCGCCGCATTCCGCCGCTTCGGAAACATTCGCCCAATTTTACAGTGGAGGCTTCGCAAATCTACCTCGGGGCTTGGGCTTATGTAGTAAGTCAGAACTTGTGGTATAACTCAGGTGGAATTTAGCCGTGCTCTTTCTGAATCAAAGCCTTACCATCATTTGGCTAGTGGATTGTCTGAAATGAATGGATTGTTTAAATTGTAACGATCTCAAAATAGATCGATTGCGAAATATACAGTTTGTTCAAAATCCATATCCAAATGTTTTGTTCTTCCTATATGATAGAATAGTACTGAGCTAGTGTCTGCTATGGTAATGAAGCTGCAGGCGATGTAAAAGCCCGGCAGCAGAGCAAGAAGTACACAAAATTTGCCAGGCAGAGTCCAGCAATGAGCAAATAGTAGTAATCCAAGTGGCCCTCGTCAAGATCGGTCGACAACCAGCTAACCTTCTCCCCACCAGAAGTCAAACCATCGACGGCGTTGATCAACAAGCTCGAAACCAGGCTGCCGACAGCCCCACTCATAGTTGAGAGCGAAGCAGCGATGCTGGCCATGGATTTCGGCAGCTGCGAATAGTAGAACGCAACCTGCCCAATGGCGTTCAGAGTCAGTGCCATTCCAAGCAGAGCCAGCGTCGGCACCAGCCAGAGCACTGACATGTCCACGGTCGCTGCATCAGGGTGTTGGATTGCCATCCCCCTCCTGACACTCTCCACAACTCCTGAAAAATCAAGGATGACAGCAAAGAAAATTCAGTTTGTTTGTCTTCTCTCGGAAGATTGGTTCTCATCTCATCAAGTTCGACGAAACAAGTCGAGCCAGTACTGTTCATCTCGTACCTAAAAGCGCCATGGCGACCATGGACAGGACCATCCCTGCCCCGATTCGGACTTTGTTGCTGATGCCACGAGGATCCCCCGTGACCTTGGCCAAGAGTGGGACGCATACCGATTCGTAGAGGATGATGCTGAGGGTGAAGCTTACGAGACCGAAGCTGTTGAGGGAGGCAGGTGGGCTTTGGAAGCTCGAGTTCGGGAAGATACGTCGGTTCATGGTTTCTGCTTGAAGAGTTATCAGAGGGTACTGAGATACGCTGACGTGGAACAGGATCCCAGTGGACCAAACGGGCAGGACTCGAAGGATTGATTTCAGAGCTTCTACTTCTTCTACGGTGCATAGACTCCATGGATCCGTCGCTGAACCGTCTGAAGGATTTATGTCAGTCTCTGGATTGGCCATGAAGCAAGCTCTGTTCAGGCACCTGCAACAAGCAGTGTTCGTTCCATATAAGAGATTCAAGTGAACGAAGTGCATGATGAAGAACAAAACAGTTACCTGAAGTTATGAGTCGGGAAGGTCATAACGAAGCTGCCATCATCGGACCCAACACGACCATGAAAAAACCGGCCACCACCAACCAGACTCCCTAACTCATCATCATTCTCGAACCTAGCATCAGCAGCCTTCCTGACCGCAGCCACAACAACGCGAAAGCACCCGACGAGCAAGCTGCTCTCCGGCTCGTGCTTCACATAACTCGAGGAAGGAAGCAGGAACAGCAGCGTGGAGAACAAGATGAGGAAAGCTGAGACGCCGAGCCCTATCTCCCAACCGTAGGCGTCCTGAGCGTAGACGAGAAGGGTGAGGCCCAGCAACGCGGCTGTCCCGCTGCCAACGTAGTACCAGTTGAAGAAGCCTTGCAAGGCCTTGTCGTCAGGGTTGTCTTTGTTGTGGAGTTGGTCTGCGCCGAATGCTAAGGAGCATGGCAGAAGGGAGCCGGAGCCGAGGGCGATTATAGCTAGGGAGGAGTACAAGATGGCCAGCTGGAATCTGGTGGCCGCCGACGACGACGAGCAATTGGGTTGAGATGATGATGATAGTAATGGCTTGCATTGCGGTGGCCTGAGGTCAGGGAGCATAGCTGTTGACCACAACAGAGTGGTTCCCTGTAGAAATTAGGAAACAAATGGGTTTAGCCATTGGATAATTTGACCGAATCGAAGCCCCCGAAAGATGGGAAGAGTGGAGATCAAGGTACTGACGAGAAGGGAGAAGCAGGAGCAGAGGAGGATGACGCGAAACCGGCCGAGGGAAGAGTCGCCTAGCGAAGCACCAAAGATGGCCATGGTGCTGGAAGCCGAGCTCCACAGGTAGATGACGCTGGAAGCCGCGGCTGCCGCCATGTGGAACTCAGTCGTCAGGTAGATCACCATGTTCGCGTTCAGCCCCGTGCTTACCAACGTCTGAAACGCCTCGTTCACTGCAAAAACACAGAAAAAGAAGGAAAGCCAAAGCCCATCAATGGTGAAAACCAGTGGGAGCAGAGAAAATGCAGGCAGGAGATTAGGTAGGTAGCTAGCTAGGAACCGTAACGTACACATGGTGAATGGAATGGTTCTGAAGCCACCCTTTGCAGCAGCAGCAGCAGTCTTCTTCTGCTTCTTCTCCATAGGGTTGGGGGAGCGACGTTCGCGAGAAAGGAGGAGGGCCGTTTTGTTGTCATCCTCGCCGTCGTCGAACTGTCTACCGTTGCTCTGCTCCGCCATGAGAAAGGAAGAAGTGACGATGATGGAATGGAAGCTAAGGATGGTTAACAATGGCTGCCCGCCCACTGCAAAGAGGTACAAATAAATATCAACTAGATGTATCACTGTCTGTTGTTAGCTAGCTTCTGTTAGGTTACCACTAAAAGGAAATTGGGCCTCCCCTTAATAGTCATGTTTAGGTAGGATGTTGAATTGTTGAGGATAGACCATGTTATAGAAACATGGATTTTGGGTGTTTTTCTGCTATTTTGACGAGTTCGTCGATTTATTATTGTTGTTTTGTGTTGCTCTGAATGTTATTTTGAAAGGTTTTTTTTTTTTTTGGAGTAATTGGGCTATTTCTGTGGGGATGTATTACTTTGAGTTGTTTTAAAGAATTTGTCAGTCTATCGATATTACCTACCAAATAAAAGACCTGTTTAGGAAGACTGTCTAATTCTCCGAAAAAGATCGATTTAAACCCTCTTATAGTTTCTGCTAGGCCGACATATTTTCCCGGAGAACCCGTAAATACTTTTGCTGCGAAAAAAGAGTCGTGGTGAGAAATGCTCAATTTTTCGTGCTCTTGCTACAAGTTAAGCGATCCTCTTCGGATAATTCGTCCAACCCCATGATGGCTATAATGTCCTGGAGTTCTCTGTAGCGTTGTAATGTCTCCTTAACTCTCTTGAGCAGTTTCATTATATTATATATTGTGTAGTTTGGAGAATTATTCATCAGGGGATTTCGGTATCGTTCCAATTTTATTGAATGTCTCTGAAAGAGAGATCAAAGTGATTTCAGTATGGTTAAGTCTAAACCTAATCTCCCTCTCGTCCCTCCCACCCATATTGAGTTGCCGGCTTTCCCCTTCTCTTTCTCTCTTCTTTTCTCAATCCCGCTCCTAATTTCTTCTAATCACCTCCCCCAATTTCTCAATTATCCTATTATCTGTTACTAATCTTTGTTACATGAACCCTAAACCAAGACGCCCAAATCACTGTATTCTTCTTACACACCCCTACAGATCCCACCAAAGTTTGGAAAGTCATAAATGGAATTTCTACTCGAAATCTACCTTTCCAAAATTGGATGAAGTCTGATCTAGTTAGCTAAATGTCAGTTCAGGCAGTAATTTTGGAGAAAGACAGATAGATTGAAACGACTTGCCCTTCGTCCGGGCCAGGGATTTGGGCGGTTAGTTAGTTGGAGCTGTTAAGAAGCCAAGTACTGTAGTACTATACTCTAATCTAATTGTGTGTGGAAGTAGAGTTTATCTCAAGCAGAAAATGAAGAACACGTTTGGTTAGCTAGAACAGGCGGTTCGACCGGTGTTCCTTCAACCGGGTAGTGTCTCAACTCTCAACTTCAAAGCAAGAATTAACAATGAAGACAGGAGCCGTTTCTCTGTCGTGGCGTGTAGGGAAGTAATAAAATTGGTCATAAACGTGTAAAACGTAACCAAAAAGGTCACACAGGTTACACGATATAACAAAATAGCTATTTCATGTCTTTGCATCCATATTACAATCCAACATAGCCAGTTAGCTTGCTCTAGAAAAGAGGTAGATTTACGAATTGTTTTGGTGTATGCAGTTTTGTTTATCAATTATGCTCTATGTCAGCAAGCTAATTGGTTAATCTAGATGGAAATACGGCTAAAAAGAGAAGAAATGACGATTTTTTATTTTAGTATCATGATATATACATGACTTTTTTTTTATATCGTTTGTAATCGTTTTGTTACCGGTCCAAACCTACGTCATCCATTGGCCAACGTTAAGGATTCCATATACGAGAATGAGAAAGCTCCAATCCAAAAACGACTTGCGTATTGGACAAGGTATCCAAGGCAATACATGATTTGGTTGGTTGGACCGTTGGAGGCTTGGAGCAGTTAACGGTTAAGTACCGTTGAATGGGGTTCTGCATTGGGCCGCTTGGCAAATTTTTAAGCCCAAGGTTGAACATTCGGAAAGGGGCTTAATTTGGGCCGTCTGATAAGATTTTAAGCCCAAGAGGTCGTGGGTCAATTAACGTGAAGAAGGCGGGGAAAGCGCGGGAATGGGACAGCCCACATGCAGAGAGAGATCATGCACGTACGGAGAGATCTAATTCAGGGTTAATTAATATGAATTTCAATTTGCTAAATGGTTAGTAAATTAATTACTCTATATTTAGCAACGATCCAGATTTGACTTGTTAGCATGTGTTTTAATCTTAATTCTTATGGTACAAATTTAACTTGTACACAAATTTTTCTTTATGTTACAAACTAAACTTGTGTATTCTTATAAGCACGAATACTTACTAGCCTTCATATTTTGAACATGCCGAATTTTACTTACTACAGTATCAACTTTTTGGTCGATTAGAAATCCTTATTCCTAATAAGATTAGGAATCCTAGTTCAACTAGGAATCATAAAGAAACAAAAGATATTATGACAATCTATCATGACATGGTGTTACAGTAAACCTACTGGTTTCGTTTTTTATTGTAAGAATGATATAAATTTACTTCTTTACGGTGAAGTAATACTTAACGAATTCGAATCTGAGACCTCCAAGTTCAAGATTAGTGGTATTACCACTAGACTAAACCTTTGTTCGTAGTAAACCTACTGGTTTCCCACTTCATCCACCTCTCTTGTATCCTCACCCTTGAGAGGACCATAGCCCTTGCAGCAAGCAACATAGTACACAAAATTCCCCAAACTCAAACCAGCCAAAACCCAGTAGTAGTAATCATAGTGCCCCTTGTTAATGTTGCTCCCCACCCAGCTCCCTCCACCACCATCACCTCTCGTCGCGCGATCCACGACGCTCAGCACCAAGCTCGCCACCAGATTCGACACCGACAGCCCCATCTGATACAGAGTCGTGGAGATGCTAGCCATGCTCCTCGGCAGCTCGCTGTAGTAGAACTCGTTCTGTCCAATGTAGTTAAACGCCTCCGCCACCCCAAATGGCACGTAGTACAACAAAAACCACATCGCGGACATGTCCACGATCCCATTGGGATCGTCGGAGAGCCCCTCGTCGAGCGCCCTGGCTCGACGAATGCTCTCCACGAGGCCCAGTGCGGCCATGGAGGCAGAGGAGAGCAGGATGCCGAGCCCCAGCCTCGTCTTCAGGGGAAGCGAGACGGGCCGTCCCCTGAGGGTTGAGGCTAAGGGCAGGATGGCTCGGTCGTAGAGGGGAACCCAAATTAGTAGAGTGAGGACTAGGAAGATGCTGAAGGAGCCTGCTGGGATCTCGATTTTCGGAGTAATGTGGCGGTCCATGGTGGCGAGTTGGAGCAGCTGGATGGATTGCTGGCTTGCTGTGACGGACATTAGCATCCCTGCTGACCAGATTGGGATGATTCGGATTACGGATTTGAGATCCTCGACTTGTTCTACGGTGCAGAGGCGCCATGGATGAGTTGGTTTGCCTTCCTGTGTTAGGTCTTGTTCGGGGTGTTGAATGATGCAGGCCTTGTTCAGAAACCTGAAAGCATCAGCAGGAACAGGATGATTATGTCGAGAATCAGTTGGTTCGAATACAACGTACTTAAACAAATGGGGTCGCTGAGATTCAAACGAAAGATCTCGATCTTTGTGATAGGTGGCCTGATATCATGTCAAGAACCAGTCTGTAAAAATAATTTGAGCAGAGGTGAAATGTAATCAAAATCGCGTTTTTAAAACTTAAAAGTTTTAAGCTTTTACACTTTTTCTAGATCACCAAAACGCTTCTACGTAGAATCGTACTTTTTTACTTACAATGGTAAGTCAAAATCTCCACTTTAAAACTTAAAATTTCACGTTTTATTGCTTCTATATCACTAAAACGCTACACAAAATGATGATTTTGACTGTATTTGTTGGGAGAGGCTCAATTACGAATCATATATCGCTTACTAACAAATATAGACATACCTCAAATTCTCAGATGGTTCCAAATTCATTACTGCAGCAGTGGATTGATGATGATGATAAGCTAGAGTAATTGATTGAGGTGGCGGCAGCTTGATGCTCCTCTTTGTCCAGGCAGCTACAACAACTTGAGCTAGCTCAGTGACCAAGCTTGCTTTGGCCACCGGCTTCACATAGAACACAGAAGCCGAGAAGAAGGAAACTGCAGACAACACCATGAGCACCACACAGACTCCAAAACCAGCACTCCAGCCAGCAGAATCCTGGATGTAAACTATGACAGTTATGGCCAGCAGAATCGCAATCGCCGTCGAAATGTAGTACCAGCTGAAGATGCTCTCCAGCACCCTTGAAGATCCCCTTTTGGTGCTGACCATCATCATCTGGTCAGCACCGAACGCCATGCAGGACGATCTCATGCTCCCTGATCCGATCGAGATCAGGCCCAACGACGCGTACAGGAACATCAGCTGTCGCGTCGTCGTGGCTGGCAGTCTGCAGCTTCCTGTAGAATGAGCATCACCAGCACAGTGTTGCGGCCTGGCCTCTGGTATTGCAGCCGTTAGCCATAAGGAAAAAGTTCCCTGCACATAATCAGCGATACAATTCATCTCAATAACTCGAGTGATATACATTTTCTCTGCAACATTGCATCGTACTAAATACTAACTTATGCATCGGAGCGCAAATTCAAACATGTTCCCTACCTCTCTTGACTGTCACATCAAAAGACCAGACCAGACCAGACCAGAGCAGAGGAACCATGTTCTTACCAGAATGGAAGCGATGGATCCAAACCCGATCATCCAGTACCGACCCACATAAGAATCGGCTAGAAAGGCCGCGAGGACGGGGACGAAGTTGATCGCCGCGGTCCATATGAACATCACTTGCGCACCAGCAGCATTCTCCAGGCCGTACTCTCTCGTCAGGTAGAGAATCATCGATGCGCCGAGGCCGTAAGTCACCACTTTCTCCAATCCATCGGTTACTGCAGTGCGTGCAGCAGCAAATTAGGCATTATTATCCATTAATGGAACAAAATTGATGACACCATGAATAAGTACCTATGATGAAGGGCAAGGCCCTGAAGCCGCCCTTTGCGAGACCATTGCTGCTGCTGGAGGAGGAGGAAGCGACCAAGATTTGATCTAACTGTGAGTTCTCCTCCATTTGTGGGTTTGGACTGGCAGGGGAGCTCTGTTTTTGGCTCTGTTTCTGCTTCTACTGTGGAGATGGAGGAAGACCAAGAAGAAATGATTTGATTGAGATGCGAGAATCAAATGTATTAACCCCACGTTGAAGCTGACAAACTTGTCTGTGGTCCAAAGTACTTGGAGGTTTATATTAAGGGAGAGGATTAAGGTATGCAATTATGTAAGACAACACGTGGTGGTAAAAACAACTCCAATTCAAAGGGCTTGCAAAGTACTTAGCATACATATTGAGCTCTATCGTGGGAGATGTAAAGTCAACTCATTTGTCGTGTCTCCTCGTATGGTTATTCGTGCCGTTCTTAATTCAAGTGTAGTGACCGTTGAAATCAGTAACGTGGCAGTAGAGATCGAATATGAAATTATGAAGGAAATCACTTGGCAAAACAAAAGGTGGAGGTAACGATTTGACCATTTTTAAAGTGTTGAAGTCAACTCGTTGTAGTGAACGTTGAAATGAATAACGTGACAGCATAGATCGAAATTATGAAGGAAATTGTTCGCAAAACTCAATGTGAAGGTACGATTTGATCATTTTTTAAATGGTAGGAGGCATTTTTTTCCACTAGAATTTGGATCTTACATTCAATACAAGAATCAGTTACTTCAGTGACAACCAATCGACCTCCTGGATGAGGTATTGAATTTTAAAAAGTGTGTTTGTGACAAAAGGTGTTAGGAGAAAATTTTGAAATATTTTACATAAAGTAATGTTGCGTAAGAGGTAAGAATACATAACACTTTTCTGTTTTGATCTTGAGAAATTAAAAAAAAAAAAGTTGCTTGTTACTTTTGTAACTCCCCACATACACGACCTTAGTAGAAGTGCTACATTAGAATATGCAACTCTTTTAAGCGTTTAATCAACACATTTATGGAGTTGAAAGATGACATTTTCCCCTCTTACCTCGATCAAATTAACACAATAATCAAATTAACAAAACTAAAATTTAATCCATTTGGTTAATTGTTTTAACCGATATACTATAAGATTATCATCAGCATTATGTGAGGGAAAAAAATACAATATATACATAACGTATAACAATCACGTTTTACAAAACATTTGACTAATTTTTAGTATTTCAATAGATTTGGCTAAAATAAAAAATCCGGAAAAGTTTTGGGTAATAAATAAACATTATCCTAATATAATTCTCTAGTACCACGCGGACTGCCGTCGATTCATCCCAATTTTCGATCTCAACCGTGGATTTCACAACCATTCCCCTTACCTTATCCATCTTTTTTCCCCCGGAACCCTGTCTCCTCACTTCTCCCCGTCGTCCGATGCCGCATTTCTCCGATCTCCCTTCGTCGATCGGCCGGCCGCCGGCCGGGGTTCCACCCCAACGGCTGGAGAAGCATCTGTCCGGTGGTGATTTTCCATGTCCCTCGACATCTACTGTTGGCTTCACCGGCGGCTGTGCCAAGCAGCTCTCTTCCTTTCTCCTTTTTCTTCTTCTTCGGCGTGAATCGGAGCACGGATAAACCCGGCGATTTCATGGAGGCGGAACCCTAGCTCTTCTCTCAGTAATCTCTTGACCGATCCTGTTGCTTAATTCCAGAAAAAATGGCGAATAGTTTGATGATTGCATTGTCTAGTGTTCAATTCCATGTTCCAATTGATTTCCAATTTTTTTTAAGTAGCTGAATTCCATATTCAACTTGAGTATCTAAGTAGTAGAACGAGTTATGGAGTTTCTTCAAGTTCAGATAGTTGATTATGCTTCTGTTACGTCAGGTCTCCTTAAGAGGAACACTTGCGATTGTTAGCATGTGAGGAAAAGATGATGTTGAAATCTTTGAAGTATTGTGCAGATAGTGGACAATGATTGTCCTTGATCGCTACTTTCTTTGGTTCTGGAAACACCTATGGAAATTATATGTGGCCTAGGCTGCTTTGGACGTCTCTCAGTGACCTAACCTGATCTGACCGAGGGTTACTTTTTTTCCCCACAATTGTTTGCTTGTGCAGATGTGAGCTAGCTAGTTGCCATTGTTCTGAGACCCACAAGCGTCCTTGTCTTGGGTGGAACAACAAACTACGCAAAAGGTGTTCTATATATATAAGACGATGCAGTACTGTATATAGGTAGATAGAGCCACCATTGCAGCAAGCAATGGAGATCAACCCAGCTGCTACTAAAGTCGATGCATCGGCTCTCTACGATGCAGCGATGAGAGGCGACACCGAAACCCTGCAGGGCTTGCTCCAGAGAGACAGCCTGATCCTCAAGAAATTCCCACTCTCTTCCTTCACCGAAACCCCTCTACACATCTCGGTCCTGGCTGGCCACCTCGACTTCAGCAGGGCGCTTCTGCATCATAATCCTGGGATGGCCATGGAAGGGGACGCGTCCAATTGTACCCCGCTTCACTTGGCTTCTGCTGCTGGCCACACAGAGATCGTCGGGGCTTTGCTGAGTAGTGAAGGAGGCTCGGATGCTTGCTTGGTTCGCGACGAGGATGGCAGGATCCCTCTTCATCTGGCGGCAATGAGAGGCAGAAATGATGTCATCAGAGAACTGATCGGTGCGAGACCTGAGTCGTTGTTGGTGAAGCTAGAAGATGGAGACACGGTTCTGCATTTGTGTGTGAAGTACAACCATCTGGAGGCCATGAAGATACTGGTTGAAATGAGTAGCAGCGGCAAGAAGGGTATGATTGAATCCATCATCTGCTCCGGAGATGGCGAAGGGAACACCATTTTACATGCAGCTGCCATGTTCAAGCAGGTTCAGGTACCAATACTTTTCGGTCAGGCCCAAGTCCTTATTCTGCAATTTGATATTGGCTACTTGAATTCAGTCTCAACTTTGTCAGACACCTCTGTTTTTTAGACCACAAGTTACCTAACTTCACTACCTAGCATGGGAGCAGCAGTGAATTCTTTGAATGGGTTTGGCTCCACAGCTTTGGATTGCCTAGAGCTGTCTCCCAAAGACTTCAAGAGCCTACGGATCCGAGACCTTCTGGTGGATGCAGGCGGTAAAAGAGCCAAGGAGTTGACGACTTCCGCTTATCATCATCATCTTCCACCACCAAATCCTTCACTACCGATATCCCCTGCCACCAATAAGTGCTGCAAACCAATCAAATCGATGTGCCGGCGTTTCAAGAAGTTCCTGCAGTACGATACCGAGTGGATCAAAGATATGAAAGGAACGCTCCTGATCGTGGCTACCCTCATAGCACAAATGAGCTTCCAAGCTGCAAACAACCCACCAGGTGGCGTGTGGCAACAGAACTTCAATAGCCCTACTGAGGGCTTCCGCTGCAACGCAACCCACCCGTGCACAGCCGGGACTTCAGTTTATGCTTACACCGAGACAGATTTCTACTATTATTTCATGGGACTGAACACGGCGGCATTTGGTGCATCTCTGTGTGTCATCCTTTTGATCGTCGGCGGGTTCCCTCTGAAGAACAAGTTCGTTATCTGGCTACTGGCTCAGGCTATGTGCACAGCCCTTGATTGTATGACGTTTGCTTTTATAATTGCTGCAGTTTTGGTGTCTCCGACTAAGGATGATATACGTTCTGAAGTCGCGTGGATAGCGGTGATTCTTCTGGCAGTCTGGCTGCTGGCTTCTCTGGTGATTACTCTGCTCGACACGCTTCGGATTGTTATCTGGATTTGGAGCAAATTGTGGAAGGTCGGAGCAAGAGCATCGAGCTGCTGTTGTTCAAGGGAGGAGCAGAGCTACAATGCTGTCTAAAGCATGGCGTTATTTAAGCTGTACTATAGCATGAATGATTCTCTGTTTCTGGGGATTCTCTGTTTCTGATGAATTCTGTGTTTAAATTTGAATACGCGTGTGCTTGTTTGTCTTTTTGTTTCGTTTATACTGTAAAGATCATATCATTCCAAGGAGTAGCAGCTTCTATGACGAAAAGATTGCATCTTTGTAACCTTTTGACTTATGTTTGTAATAGTGCCGGTAGTTGTTAACATATTGGTTGATGTTATAAACAAAAAGTTGCTATTGGTGGATAATTGAAACCTGATAGGGTGTGTATATATATTATATATTGCCTTGTGTGGTAGGGGTGGGCATTCGGTCGGTTCGGTTTCGACCGAACCGAAATTATGAATACCGGGTCCCCGAATACTCCCAAACCCCAAACCGAATTCGAACCGAATTAAAATTCGGTTCGGTCGGTTTAAACCGAATTATAATTCGGTTCGGTTTTATACACAAAACCGAAATTGAGAGGCTACTTGTATCTTCTCACATTTAAATTATTTTTCACCCTTAATATAAACAACAAATATGTAATTATATGCATCATTAATGATAAAATCAAACTTTTCAACACATAAGTCATAAAACATTTCAAATATTTAAGTCTAAAAACAAATACAAACATAAAAATCCACCATTTGAGCTTGCAATTATAGTATTTCGGTTTTTCGGTCGGAAATTCGGAAATTCGGTTCGGTTGAAAGAACCTTGATTTCCAAAATATCCATATTTTCCTTCCGAATTCCGAACCGAATAGCATTAGTTCGGTTTCGGTTCGGTTTAATTCGGTTTACCGAACCGGTTGCCCACCCCTATTGTGTGGGTATGATATGGGTAAAAGTCCAACTCTTTTGGGTAGAGTAATGTATATTCACATTCACTATTTGGCTCAAATCAAACGTTTATCATCCCTACTTGTCATTGGATAGCAGCACCAATCATAAATAAGATAAATAGAGCGAGAGCAATAGAACGTCATTATACCCTGATTTTGAATCTTAAGGATTAACCTTTAACAAAAGATATTTCTAATTGTTTATTTTCGCGATATGTTTGTCTCGTATCAATTTTTGTATCATATCAAAACTCTCCATACTACACATCAGGAGTCTATTACTCAAATCTGACGAACAATTTCTAAGAAAACCAAAGGGCTAGATGCATATATATATATATATATATATATATATATATATATATATATATATATATGGGATCGTATTCGTATCCATCTTGATCAACACATACAATGGCAGTGATGGCCTTTAGACGTGTGCTTGCAGAGGGCACCTTTACACTCCTGAATGCAGAATTCGTAGCAGTTCCCACCAGGAGCGTCGTTCTGCCCAGGACGACACTCTCCCATATAATAATACTCCCTGCAACATATCGAGTCGGTCACGTTGCCAGGACGTTTTCCAACAAATCGAGTACCTGCGACATTGTTGATGCTAAAAGCCAGCAGCATCGCCACCAGTAGCATTACAAGGCACCCAACTCTTAATCTTCCACTAGCCATACTAATTATCAGGAATGTTAATTTCTTAGTTCTAGTTCTAATTAAGGTTTCGATTTGGCTTTGGTATGTTTACCACATTGAGACCAAACCATGGGGTTTTATAGGGTTTCAATTGGTAAGGAGTTGGGAGGAAAGTAAATATTGGGAAAAAGGCAATCTTTCAATTTTGGTCAAGTCATGGAGAGGGTTTAATTACAGTGTGTTAATATATGGAAACGTTGCTTGGAATAATTTGGAAAACGTTTAAGCTTTATTGGAAATTATTATATTAATTAATAAAGAGTCCAAAGAAAAAATGTAGGTAACGTATTAGAAGTGGTAGTAGTATTTGGGTTGACCTTTAGCCGCATAATTTGTCAAACTACAATTTAATGTAGGTATTAATCCTATAAATACTCTTTATTTATCGGTTAATGGTCATTGAGTTAATCCAAAACTAAATACTCTTTATTTAGTTTTGGATTGAGTTAAATTTGAATTGAGTCAACTCATTTTGATCTGATTTAAATGAATCTATAAAATTTGACTCAAATGAAAAGTTATCATCGAAATCAATTTAGTAGGAAGTTAAATCTCAACTACAAATTAGTATCCAAGTTAAGCCTAAGTCTCATTGCTTAGATTTGCAAACTAATAATAAAATTAAACAGCTCTATTTATCACGTTATCACGTAACAACGTAATTTCATATCTTGGGTATCCATTTTTTTATTGGTAACCAAAATAACAGGTCTAATTTGAACTCAAAATAAAAATATTGAATACGAATCTGTTTCAAAAGTAATATTACCCAAACCTTTTCCGAAAATAAACTGTGAATCTTATTGGATGTGCCATGATATAGCAGTATTACAATAATACCACTTCATTAGAATTATCAATCACAGTTGATTTTACTTCAGAATACTTCTGCAGTGAATCTACCCTTGTTGATTCTACTGTTAAACAATCTCACAGAAAGAACATAAATTTAACACCAATTTACGTGGTATTCCTGGAATGTCTAGGACTATAGCATAAGCGGTAGCGACATAGGCACGAAAGCTCCATGGAAACCATATGGAACCCTGCAAGGCAATGTGATCTTAGCAACTGGTTGGCTGCTGAACTTCTTAGCATCGATTATGTACACCTACAGATTTGTATCAGGAAAACTAATTAGCCTGACCAAGAACACACTAATGACAGAGCTTAACATTAATCACAAGCAAGATCATTATCATTTCTCCCTACTTTGGAAGTGTCAGTGTCTTCATTGTGGACAAAAGCGACGATCCATCCATCATCTTCTTCACAACTACTCGGTGACGAGCTCCCTGCAGCGGCCAATTTGGGGACGAATGCAGCTCCACTGCAGAACGTGTTCTTCTCGAGTTCATGGTACTCCACCTTGATCGCATCTCCGCATTCGTCGTCGTCCCTCTGTAAACCGAGACTCGGCACTCTCAAAAACACGAATAAAGCGTAGATTTTGACTACAATTGTAACTGAAAAACACGAATCTACTATCGAACCAATTTGATGATCTAAAAGTGCAAAAGGGTAAACCTTTAAGTTTTAAAGCGCCAATTTTGACTACATTGAATACGAGACAGATTGCGAAAACCGTCGAAGAGTTTTTCGATTAGTTACCGGATCAATGCTGTTCGTTTTAGGCTGATCTTGGAAGTACAGTTTGGCCAGACCTCCGAATTTCGGCTTGCCTGGAGATCATCAAGAGATCACCACCACAACAAAACTTCGATTAGTTTGTCCTCTGCCTCTAGACAGATATGAAAACAGAGCAGTCGATTTGTACAGGAAAAAAATTCACCTGAAGTGGAGCTAGCTTCGACATCGATGGTTTGTGTGTACCCAAATCTGTTAGGGAGGCCGGTGAAACCAGGATGGATGACAGGGAAATCCATGGAAGCCTCTGTTTCCCCAGTTAGGTTCCTTTCCTTCACTTCCCCTGTTTTCATGTTCAGCCGCCACTCGTAGCAGCGAGTAAAGAACAATTCATCTCCAGAAGAAGAAGAAGAACCACCATCATCTCCCACATTACCACGCCTAAACCTAAACCTCCTTGAGAACCAATCAAATCTGTCCTCACCCATCTCTGATCCTGTAACTGTAAGTACCGAGTTAAGACACCTGCATGCCCTGACCACAACCTGCACGATAAATGGCGTTAACCGACTTGTGAGTTGACTTTCGTCTGAGAGCGCATGTTAATAAAAGATATATAAGTTGTATGAGTCTTTACTTCGTTTCCATCCTCAAAACAATTCAGGATGTGAAACGTGCAATTGGGTGCGACGTCGAACCATCGAATCGACTCTGTATTCCCGTATCGAGGCATCACCCCGATCCTCGCGTAACCTTCCTTGTCGTAGTTTATTAACCTGCTCATTAAATCCAGTGTGGTTTGTGAAGGTGATCATTACTGTCAAAGGAAGATTTAACTCAGAAAACAGAGGGAACAGAGTAATTCGTTCCACTTACTGCCCTCCAGTGAGGAGTCTGCTAAGGTCTATGGTGAGTGGAAAATCCATGATCACATTGTACCTAGCAAATTTTTTTACGCGCGTCAGTACTGTTAGTGAGTGGTATAAGATCCATTATTGACGTACGATACAATTACCTCTCGGTAACTCCAATATCGTGAACCAGGGCGCATCTATCGAGGTCGAGGTCCACTTTGTGAAGCAATCTCTCTCCATCCGCTGTAAAAATTACGAAACATTGCGCTCGTTACGTTTTCCCCCACTACAGTGAATTTAGGGGGTGTCGGAATCTTTATCCGTATGTACGTACGAGGGCAATTCGAATATAACTTCGTACCGGAAACGATTCCCAGTTCTATGAAAGGCTTGAAAGGCTGCATCCCGAATATGACCAGCTCGCCGGTACCGGGAGCTTTCTGCAGAGAGAGCACCACCATGAACGGAAATCAGAGATGTGAGCCAATACGAGTGAAAGGGGAAAGACATAAAAACCCTAGCTGCGTACTTTCGGGTGGGCGGTGAAAGGTCGATCCCAAGCTCCATTGATGTCCCATTCACCTCGAGCATCGAGGCCGAGGATGTCGAATTCCTGAGCAGCATGATTCTCTGCTACAGAGTAGAACTTCCCGCCGTGGCACACCACACCGGTGTTGCTGAGATCCTTGTTCACTTTCCCAAATCTCATCTGCTCCATTTCCCAAAAACAGAGTGTTATTCGACAGTTCATAGCAGAGAGCCAGAGAGGTTAAATTAGGGGGGATTGATTGATTTGACAGTAAACCCACGACGTTACCCAATTCAGAAAGTAGGCTGCTAAGACTGCAGGGGAATCGCCTTTAATGGCGGGGAGAAAGGAAGGTTTTCCCCTGTTTTTCTCCATCTTGAAGGTTTCAGTCTGCAGGTGTCTGTTTTTGTAGACGACGCTCCATTTCCCATCACTGCTTTTCTGGAAGTACAAGGCGTGGAGCATTCCTTCTCCTTCTATCCAGATGTGGTTTGTCTTCCCGAAAATGGATTCCGTTGATTTCAACCCTCCAAACAGAGGATTCGGTCCTGCAAATAATCCCCTGGATCATGAACTACTCTCAAAGGTCAAATCCATGAAGAACAGAGTAAGGCGCGAAGGTCTCGTTGACGGTTTGGAGGTGGAATTCTAATGGAACAAATTGATCATGTTTGGAAGCATAAAATTTGGAAGAAATAATTTGGTGTGGAAGATTTCGAATTAACTCAATTTGTAAAATGAGATAGTTAGCCAAATTATTCTCGTTTTTTAATCGCTCCATTCAAAAGATCTAACTAGTAAAGTAGGAGACTGATAAAACCTATTTTTTTAATCTCGCCTCTACATCAATGCAATGGCAGAGATGCATGGCACACTAGAAAAGTGAACCGGGTCCAAAAAACCGAATGTGTACCTTTAACGCTAATAATACGCTAATGGTTTTTAGCTTGTTCCAATATTTTTTCGTACAAATTCTTTTGCGATTGAAGTCGAAACATGTACTTTAACCTTATGGTACAAATTCATTTGTAACTATATTTTTTTTTTATGATACAAACTGTACTTATACCTTCAATGTTATGGTACAAATTCAGTTTGTACCTATACTATTTTTTCGCACAAATTTCTTTGTAGTACAAATTAAACATGTATCATAACCTTATACTACAAACTCAATTTGTACATATACCTTTCCGTATACATTCTTTTACGGTGCAACCTGAATTTATACCTTCCACGCTACATATTGTAAAATCCCATATCACTAGCTTTGAGGTTACCATTTCGGATGTAGACTCCTTCGGAGAAGTCGTCGGGAATAACACCCTCCACCAAGTCCGTCACCGGAACGGCCTCCTTCAGTTCCTCCACCGGCGCGAAGTTACTCTACCCACCGGACAAAACCCATTCCTCTGTTTTTTTTTCCCCCAACAACAAGCAAAAAATGTACGAGTAACTAAGAATTAAACACATACCTGAGACGGGAGCAAAGGTTGGTCAACAAACCGGAAGGCGAAATCAACAAAAGCGTCCAGCAGCAGCTTCCCGCCGCCGCCGGGATCCTTTTGCTTCACCGGAACATCGATTTGCTTGGGAATCATCAAGCTCGACTGTTCTTCATCAGGACTAATATACTTACCCACAGAAGAAAGAAAAAAAAAGTAGACGAATCGAATAATTCACGATGATGCTTTACCTTGAAAGTGGAAGAAAGAAAGGTGGCGAGATGATGATGGAAGCTGGTGGCGGTGTGGTGTCGACGGTGGGACTCCGGCGGCGGCGGCTGCCGGCTCTGGATCCTGCAATTCGTCGCCACATAATTTAGCGCCATTCGTTTTTCCCCCTCTTTTAGTCTTTGTTGCTAATTTTGGGTTCCGTGTCTTTATAATATGCATGTTGATCAAGACAAACAACTAGATTCAGATCTGGTTTTGAATTCGGAGGTAATAAATTCGAATCTATTAGGTAGTACTATGAGAGCGAATAATTTCGATCGGTTTGTAACTTTACCGTAATCGCAAATAAATGTTTATTGTAATGATAAAAAAAAATGCGAAAATTAAACTAGAAAGCAACCCCATGAATCACATAACGGTTGGAACTAGGGAGGCTGCGAATGAGCCGATCGAGCTGCTTACGGGGGCGGCTCGGTGTTCGATTCGAGAAAACTTCGTTCGACAATCGACTAGTTAGTAAAAGATAAATTATGTATCATAAATTGCTAGATACTAGTTACAATTAAATAACATTACATGAATAATTAAATTTATTAACTAAATAATATTATTTATACATATCCAAGTGACATTCAACTTTTAGACTTTTATTAAAATGTAAGAAAAAAAAGTTTAAGTAATAAAATATAGCTTTGGAAGTATATTCTCCATTACAAAAAATCAAAGTTTACGTATCAAATTGTTAAAAAAAATAGTTACTAAACTGTAATTATACAACGATTCATTACACTAATTCATCAATTTATTAGATTTGTATTTACACGAATCGAATTAGTTGGAATTTTCAATAGATCGATTACGATCGTAATAAGCTACTATACTAACCAACCTATATATATTTCTAAACCAAAAATACGTCATCCTCAACTAACCGGCGGCTTGAATACAGTTTAAGTCTATAACTGATGACGACATGTTCCAACAAATCGCCGGCGACGTATTAACAAAACCGCGTATAGTTGGGAAATGATGTCGTAAGAATTCCCACCGATTTGTATCTTTCCCTCCCAGGAATCTATTTTCTTGTTGAAGGGGAAGCTTTATCGAGGTGGACGGCTATTATTTATCCTAGGAATCTACATTCCACTGTAGGAAGACGACCAAGAGTCCGAGCCCTTCCACTAGCCCACATGGGCTTGGCGGGAACCAGCGGGCCCGAGGAGTTACCTAAATTACCCAATGCCCAAACAAAATACACAAATGGGCCACGGATACACCAACAGGTTAACTTGGGCTTTGCATATTTAGATACTTGAGCGCAGAATTTCAAGTGACGTTGACTGACGTCGATTGATGGGCGCGTATTTATGTGAAGTCGTGAATATGCATGCATGCATGCGGGACACGTGTCGGCATCATGTGAACTGAAATCAACTGCAGACGACGGAGGAAAAGCGCCAAATTGTGATCAGTCCACCGTTCCCTGACAACGTACCGTTGGGGGAGAAGAACACCATGTGTTACGCAACATGAATCATGAATGTTGTGGTGACCGACGGATGAGAAGTTTCTTTCTATAAATACGTTTCTTGGGTTGGTAATTTAACTCGGATTAGTGGGTACATTTGATTCGGTTCGACGTGATTTGAATCGAGAAATTTCGGTTTTGATAGATTTTAGGTCGACGAACATGGACGGTACTCGCTTTTCAAATTCGCAGATTATTGACAATAGTCGCCATTTTAGATTGTACGAGCTTTTTCCGGTCGAATGCAACATTTAGTGGAGGGATAATAGTCGTCGTTGTAACGATCATCAATGTTTGTTCTTAATATGATCTACAAAATATAAATAAATGACGGGGGTGCTATATAGTCTATCCGTAAGTACATATAGCTATGACATTGATTTTTTGCATCTAATCCTGATAATATAAATTATTTATTGATGTTTATTGCAATATGATTTTATGAGAATTTTCTCGAAAACTTATGAATATGGTGAATTTGCATGAATTGTTGGCGGTTATACGCCCGTGAACACGAGAGTATACTACCTATATGCACTTGCATATACTCGTTGAATCAGGGTGGGATGGTTTTCTCTTCCAAAATTTGATTAGTACTTTACCTGTTTTTTATAGAGTCACCTGCTTAAAATTAGGTTTGGCGGTATGGAGAAACCCGACTCATTATCGTCCCTGCTAGTCCTCTCAAATGCAAAAATTGCAGGAGAGAGGGTTTGTCTGATAAAAAATTCAAAGTTGAGAGACTTAATTTGTTAGACTATACAAAATAACAGTAGTTGAACGATAAATTACGAAATGATGATTTAAAAAAAAGGTATATTATTATAATTATGAGGACCATGACAGACGACAAACGTTATGAACATGATTGAAGAATCATGACAGTAAACGGGACGGGGCGCGTGCAACTGAGCCAGCGGTGAGCACGCGCGTGGCGGTTGGGGCGGGGGAATAAAGTCAAAACGGGACGGCGTAATGGCAAAACCCCGATCATAACGGAACCTTCCCCCCCTTTATTTCTCTCTCTCTTTCCCCAGACGTAATTTTTTTGTTCTGCTCGAAAACGAACTTCCGTTTTCTGTCCCCTCCCTTCTTTTCCATTCTTTTCCCTTCCTCTCGGTTTCCAATAAAGAGGAAACAGAGCAGAGTTCTGCAGAGAGAGAGGCAGAGCTCTCTCATCGCCGCCGCCATGCAACCGCCCCGGCGAGAAAGAAAGAAACAGAGCCCACAAACCAGCTGTTTGGCCGCCGAGAATCTTTGAAACCCCAAGAAAAGGAAAGTAAAAGCAAGAGAAACACGCTTTGTCGGAAAATCCTTTCCTTCAGTGTGGCAACTGGCAAAATCTTCCGATTTTGACCAAAACCCCTCCTTCGTCGTCTTCGAGCTCCCAATTTTTCTTCACCCATTTTTATTTTTCTCGGTAACCAAACAGGAGCCGAAGTCGAGACAGGAGTCAAAAAAGTCAAACCTCTCTGTTCTACATGGTAATAATCTCTTCCCCGGCTTGAACTTTCTTTCTCGCGGAAATTTTCCGATTCCCAATCGATTTTCTCGGCTGCCAAACAAAAAGGGGCAACTGGGTAATGGCTATTTGTCTCCCCGCCCAAATGGGTAAAGAATTTGGATGGAGATTGCTGACGGTGGTAGGGGTGACTTTTGCTCTGGCTGTGACATTCCAATTCCTCGAGCTCCCATACGGCGTCGTTTTGCCGTCCTCCTCCTCTGCGCCTTCTTCCCCCGACGAGGCTCCAGGACAAGGAATTGGTAGCGGTAGTAGTGTTAGTGTCAATGTTGTTGCTGTAAATTCCACCACCCTCCATCCTGCTCTGGAGGAAGTGGCGGACAGCGATGGGTTTGTTTATGAAGGAATCATGAACAACAACAGCAGGTCTTCCACGGAGTTCGATTTGTTACATGAATGGCTGGTTGATGCGAATTCGAGTTCGACATTGTCTCCTGAGGCTGCTCCTGATCAGGAAATTGATGATGATGATGATGGTGATCCAGAAGGGATTTCTAGTGATCACTTTGTGTCTGAACGAATCACGGGTTGGAAGAATGATTCTGCAGATGAAACCAGCAGCGATTTGCAAGGGAACAATGTCACTACTTTGGCAGCTGATCAAGAAGCTAAAGAAGGATCTTCAGTTGTCCACACATCACCAGTGGAGGAGGAGCCTAGCAGCAGTGCAAGTCCTGAGAATAAGGTAGATGATAGTGATCACTCTGCTGTATCTGAACGAATCATGGGTTCGAAGAATGATTCTGCAGCTGAAACCAGCAGCGATTCGCAAGGGAACAATGTCACCGTTGTAGCTGATGGAGAAGCTAAAGAAGGGTCTTCAATTGTTGCAGCAGTCCCCACATCACCAATGGCGGAGGAGCCAAGCAGCAGTGGAAGTCCTGCAGGTTCAATTGCCATGGCACCTGCTGTTCATGAAGAAGAAGCAAGTGTAAAGCAGGACAGCAATGGCACCTCTGACAAAGTACTGCAAGCTGCTGATGTAACCAAACCTGCTGCGGTTACTCCCCCTCCTCCTCCTCCTCCTCCACCAGCAGCACCAGCAGTGTTTACGATCTCGGAGATGAATAAGTTGATGCTTGAGAGTCTGTCCTCTCCGAATTCGATAGTACGTATCAATCGAGATGGCATTTTGTATTTTTTTCTTTTTCCCCAATGTGTATGTTTGAAGAACTCATTAATGATTTGGTTGGGCACTTCTATTTTCTGTAGAGACCGCGATGGCCTTCACCTGCGGACAAAGAGCTTGTGCGTGCTCGATCACTGATCGAGAATGCTCCCATTGTGACAGATGATCCAATGCTCTATGCTCCTCTCTACCATAATGTCTCCATGTTTAAGAGGTAGGAGCCATCACCAAGACTTGCTTTGCACATACAGAGTATGCAGAGCAAATTTTTACATGACAGAATTTGATAATTCCACCAATTTTGTGTGCAGGAGCTATGAACTGATGCAGAAGATGCTGAAAGTGTACGTTTACAGGGAAGGAGAAAGGCCTATATTCCACCAGCCGGCACTAAAAGGAATCTATGCCTCTGAAGGATGGTTCATGAAGTTCTTGGAAACCAGCAAGAAATTCGTCACGAAAGACCCACGAAAAGCTCACCTGTTCTACTTGCCTTTCGGTTCTCGCAACCTGGAGGAAACCCTCTACGTCCCTGGCTCACACAGTCACAAGAACCTCATACAGCATCTCAAAAACTACCTGGACATGGTTGCTGCAAAACACACCTTCTGGAACAGAACAGATGGCGCGGATCATTTCCTCGTCGCTTGCCACGATTGGGTAACATCCTCTTCACCACCCTTCTCAAATTGTTGATCCTAGAGTATGTAGAATCAGAATTGAAACCGAATTTGAACCATACCAGTGGATTAATTCAGCTCAATTTGGCCAAAATCATAGCACACCCCCAAATCCTAATGGAATAAGGATTACAATTGATCGCCGAATTCTGCAGGCACCAGCCGAGACAAAACAGTACATGTCAAACTGCATTCGCTCCCTCTGCAACGCAGACATCAAGGAAGGATTCGTCTTCGGCAAGGACACATCCCTCCCGGAGACCTACGTCCGAAACGCGCAGAAGCCACTACGAGACCTCGGCGGGCAGCCACCATCGAAGCGATCGACACTAGCCTTCTTTGCAGGCAATATGCACGGCTATGTTCGCCCGATCCTGCTGCAGCATTGGGAGAACAAGGACCCCGAAATGAAGATCTATGGCAACATGCCGAGGTCCAAGGGGAACAAGAACTACATCAATCACATGAGGAGCAGCAAGTACTGCATTTGCCCCAAAGGTTACGAGGTGAACAGCCCGCGCGTCGTGGAGGCAATCTTCCATGATTGTGTTCCTGTGATCATTTCTGACAACTTCGTGCCGCCGTTCCTCGAGGTTTTGAACTGGGAGTCGTTCGCCGTGTTCGTGATGGAGAAGGACATACCGGATTTGAAGAGGATACTGGTCGGGATCCCGGAGAGGAGGTACCTGCAGATGCAGATGAGGGTGAGGAAGGTTCAGCAGCATTTCTTGTGGCACCCTAGGCCTGTGAAGTATGATGTGTTTCATATGGTGCTTCATTCCATTTGGTACAACAGAGTGTTCCGGAGTTGAGTGGCTGATAGTCCCCTCATAGGTTAGATGTTCGTTATTTTTCTTACTACGTTTGAAAAAAAAAAATTCAAAGATATTCCGAAAGAAACAAGAAGATACAATAATAGAAACAAGACTTTCACATATCAAAACACAAAGAAAAAAATGATGGATGATGATCAACAAGTTGTCGAACCAACGATGAATTAGCTTTCTACTCTTTGCTAGAAGAAAGTCATGGACCGAATTCTCGCTGAAATGGAAATGAGTGTAGTGGTCGATTATGCCACTATCACATTTGCCATATCACCATAGTTGTATTTTGTTTGTGTATATAATTAGCTTTGCAACAATTCTTACACATTTGTAACATTTTAGTTGTGAGAATTAAAATGAAGCTGTAAAAATAAATCTTACAACGAATAAAAACTCGACCGAAATCGCATCCATTTTCAAGTGTTTAAGGTGCTAAATTCATTTGAAGAAAATTTCATATACAAATTTACTTCTTGATAGATGTTGTTTGTAAAATTATGTTATTGATCAATTCACTGACACTAATGATTCAAGATTCATACGATCTAAACATTGGACCATTACACTCTGTTTGGGAAGAGGGGTAAATGGGAGGAGGGTGCAAATGTGAGGGGTAAATACAGTTTCCAACACATTTGCACCTGTTTGGTTAATTTGGAATAGTAGGGGGGTGCAAAACGGGAGTGCAAATTTACTGTTTCGGCTTACCCCCCAAATTGGGGTGCAAGGGAAGGAAGGAAGAGAGGGGGAGGGGGGAATTATGGAATTTTGTTTTTCTAATTGTGTTATATATAATTATATAATAATTAATATTATCAATTTCTTTTTTTTATAAATATCATTAATGTAAACATTATTCGGGGTTGACCATTTGACTCTAGAAACAAGTTTATTCGTCAAGTCAAATCTAAATCTCTTGGTTGAATCGAATTTGCATTGAAAATTAGAGATACGAGGTGTTTGTGGAAAAGATAGAGAGAAATTGTTTGGTTAACTCAGTTTATTTGACTAAATAGTTAAAACTTACAAATTCGAACGTGTTTGACTAAGTTTGACAATTTAAGATTAAACTAGACACGAAAACCCTATATAGGATGACCAGTTACAAGTTGAGCTTCGAGTTTTGAGATCGCTCGATCAATGATTATACAATTGTCATAATTAATTATTATTTGAGCATTATTATATAATAACTATTTTTAGTAAAGTATATTTATTATTATATAGTAATATTTATTTTATTATTTTATGATAATATTTTAAAATTTTAAAATCTATTTTGTAATCTTAAAATCTATTTTTAAAATATATTTTAAAATAATATAATTACTTACTTTTCACTCTATTTGCACCCCCCTACTTTTTCATCCAAACAACAATTTACCCCTCCACTTACACCCCCCAGCAATTTGCACCCCCCAGCAATTTACCCCTCAACTTGCACCCTCCTGCAATTTGCACTCCCCTTGTTGCCAAACAAGCGTTAGTAATTTACATGAGATAAAAAAAAATTATTTTATTTCTGACAACTGCACTTTACCTTCTTCCTCTGTTTCGGTGCTCCGTGGAAAAAAAGTGTCTGGAGAAAGTCGCATCAGAAATACAAAACAACAAACAAAAAGATAAAGTAAAGAAGGTCTGGCGATCCGCTTTCCAGCTGTTTCAATCGCCATCAAGGTATCCACTCTCTCTGCCTTCGATTCTGCTGTAAACCCAAACCAGGAGCGCGGGAATTCTGCGAGGAATGGGCTCGCACCGACAGCCTTAGATCTCAAGTCGACGCCTTTGACATCGTGAATCCCTCCCCATGTGAATGTAAGTAATACCCATCTCATCTCACTTCCCCTGCAATCTAGGCTTGCGCGATCTTTATAAAAAAATCATTGCTTTGGTTGCGGAGTCCAATTAATGAAGATGGTTTTCCGGTTTCCCCTGTTTTTTGGGGTTTGGGCCTTTTCTGGGTTGTGGGTAGAATTTAGCTTTCGATTCATTTTCTGGGTTGTGATTCATGCAATTTATGGAACCCTTGAAAATTTGGTGCTTGGCAGTGAAATCTGTGGGAGAAGGGGCACAGAGAGAGAAAGGGAAAGTGGGTTTGGATGCAATATGTACAAGGGAGTTCAGTTTCTGTGCCAGAGAGATGCAGGGAAGTTGCTTATGTTGGTGGGAGCAACTTTCGTTATAGTTATGGCGGTTCAGTATTTTGAAATCCCATCAATTGGAGCTTTCACTTCTCTGTTCCTCGGCAATGCGGTAAGAAATGATAGCTTTGTCGATTCGAAGCATGATGCTTCGATCCCTCCTGAGAGAGGAGCTATGCCACCACTTGACATTGTGTCGAAACCGGGTAAAAATGGCAGCTTTGATAAGCCTGATCTAGGTGTCGTCCGACCATCTGCATCATCACTAGCAAATGCAATGCCATTGACTGTGAGTACCCCCTTGATTTCCCCTTCGAGCTCAAACATCTCATCCAATACCAAAGACCATGCAGCAATTGGGCTTAGCAAGGATGCCAATTCAGGGTTGTTGTCGTTAAGTAAGCCTGATCAAGCTTCTCTCTCACAATCTGCATCACCACCACCAGTGAATGCAACTACAGTGAGCTCATCGATTTCTCCTTCGAGCTTAAACATTTCATCGAATACCAAAGATCATGCAACAATTGGGCCTAACAAGGATGCCAAATCTGGTTTATTGTTCAATAATAACTCATCATCAGTAACTGCAAATAGTTCTGCACATGGAGCTTCTGCAAAGAGAAACCAGAAGTATAAGCCACCATCCAAAGTTGTACCGATATCAGAGATGAACATAATGTTGCATCAGAGATACGCTTCATCATCATCTTCCATGGTATGTGATGGATTCCAATCTCTGCATTATCATGGGAATACATGAAGCTCCATCAAGAATCTGATGAATTCATGTATTTTTTAGATACCCCATTGGCCATCAGAGGTTGACAAGGATATGCTCCATGCGAGATCAGAAATTGAGAAAGCAGCTGGAATTGGGGATGATATAGATCTCTATGCACCTCTCTACCGCAATGTTTCTATGTTTAAAAGGTATCTGAATGCATTCTGGATCAATCCCTACATATTGGTTCAGAGATTTAGAGTCAAATGATCTGATGAATGAGAGCTCATATATAAATGGCAGGAGCTATGAACTGATGGAGAAGTTGCTCAAGGTATACGTGTACCAGGAAGGCGAAAAGCCAATCTTCCATGAGTATATACTCAATGGTATATATGCTTCTGAAGGATGGTTTATGAAGCTCATGGAGAACAATCAACATTTCGTCACTAAAGACCCCAGCAAAGCTCACTTGTTCTACATTCCATTCAGCTCGCGACTTCTGGAGTTGAAGCTCTACGTCAGAAAGTCCCACAGTCGAGAAAACCTTGTTGAGTACATGAAGAACTTTGTGGACATGTTGGGCGTGAAATATCCTTACTGGAATAGAACTGATGGCACTGATCATTTCGTTGCTGCCTGCCATGACTGGGTATGTAATCTATTTTGTGTGCTGCTCGGTTCTGTGACAACTTCTTGATTCAATGACGTGGCTTGGAGGGTATTTTACACCTCTTATTCGTGTTACTTATCGACCTATGCAGGCACCAGCTGAGACAAGGGGACGAATGCTGAAGTCCATCAGAGCCCTCTGCAATGCTGACCTCGAAGTAGGTTTCGACATAGGCAAAGATGTCTCCCTGCCCGAAACCTACGTGAGGTCAGCAGAGAATCCTCTCAAGAACTTAGAACCGAACCTGCCATCAGCCTCCGAGAGACACATCCTTGCTTTCTTTGCCGGCGGCATCCATGGCTACCTCCGCCCGATCCTGCTCTCCCACTGGGAGAACAAAGACCCCGACATGAGGATCACTGGCCCACTGCCCCACGTTCGAGGCAGCAGGAACTACATCGAGCTCATGAAGAGCAGCAAGTTCTGCGTATGCCCACGAGGGTTCGAAGTGAACAGCCCGAGGATCGTGGAATCGATATTCTTCGAGTGCGTTCCTGTGATCATATCAGACAACTTCGTGCCCCCGTTCTTCGATGTCTTGGACTGGGAATCTTTCGCCGTGTTTGTGCTGGAGAAGGACATCCCCGAGCTGAAGAAGATACTGCTGGCGATATCCGACGAGAGGTACAAAGAGATGCACAAGAGGGCGAAGATGGTGCAAAGGCATTTCCTTTGGCATCACCAGCCTGTGAAGTATGATCTGTTCCACATGGTTCTTCACTCTGTATGGTATAACAGAGTCTTCCAAATGAGAATGTGAAGATATTGGATTGAGAATTTGTCAACTGAAATGTAGTGTATACTGTATAGGGTGTAGACTTCATAGATTGTATGTTCAAGAAGAGATTTTGGTTACAGAGGGATCATAATTAGGTTTACCATATCTCCACTGTCATTTCGCTCTCATCTAGACCGTTATAAAGAGCTACGCGATTTTGAAAATTAGCTATTTTTGTTACAAAGTAATCGTTGTCTGCATTTCAGCATTTGTACTCTAATTATCGATAATTCAACGTCATGAAATCGAAATCATTAGTTATCAAATATCAACACGACACATTGACTATTTGTAATTCGGGAACATGAAGTCGAATCGCTAGTAATCCTACATCAACATGGGTGGATTAAGCAGAGGCCGTTAAGATACACGTGTCCTGATCTATTGCAAGGCCAAACACAAAGGAAACTCCTTGCACCGTTGATTCTCTACATCTCCCATTATCTGCCGTCCGATCACAACTACCGTCAATTTACCCCATTTCCGTCAACCTCCGGTTACGCCAACTCCTGAAAGCTTGGCGGCAGAAATTTAACGGCAAAGGAACGGCTTTGTTACCGCTCCTTCCTTTTGACTGTATGGTAAAATCGAAGGGCCTTTGTTGTGGATTCAATTATTCGGTAGGCGGCGATAGACAGAAGGATTGTGAATTTCTGATTGCGGAGAAGAAATGGCCACACAGACGAAGCAAACTGTTGCCAAGGTGAAGCTGGGCGGCGGCGGTCAAGATGTATCAAGGATTAAGAAGATCGAGAGCTCTAGCAAGCAATTGGCTGATTCGAAGAACAAATCCGTTTCAACTTCGGTGCGGATCTCAAATTTCTCACCTTTTCTTCTTTATCTCCGTTCAGCTGTTTGGGGTTCGATTGGTTTGGCCTTTCTGGTCGGTATAGCTTTGATGGGTCAGCTGGATTTCGTCTGATTTTGATTGGGTTGGAGCTCATTTTTCATAATTGTCCAATTGGGTTGTGCTGATCAGGCTTATTGATTCAATTCTTTCGGTCTGGTTATAATTTACTCTGTTGTTTATCGAATGTGAAGGTGAAATCATCAACATCAAGTACATCAAAAGCTACAACGACAACCAAAACTGCTAGAGTGAAGAAAGTCTTCTCCTTGGCTGGCCAGAAATATGATCCCCCTGAAGAGGTTCTGACTTCTGTCTATGTTCATAAGTTTCTGTCTTCGTGCTCGGGTTTATATACGATTACGGGCAATGACGTGGCCTGATAATGTCTGGTGATTTTGCTTACATTTCTTTTGCAGAGGGAGCCGGTTAGGATTTTCTACGAGTCGTTGTCTGAACAAATTCCATCTAGTGAAATGGCAGAATTTTGGTAAGGTTTCGTTCCATTCTCTTTGAGGATTCCTTGTTTGAACTCGAGCCTACGAAATGAGTGAAATTTTGAGCTGGATGTCGCCTCTTTCATTTCCCCACCTAGTAAGGAGATGCTTCTGATGTAATACTTTTGCTCTTGGACAGACTAACTCATTTCAGTTGCTCAAACAAAGTTCAAACTAGTTTATAGATGTTATTTCATCTCTTGGCCATAGTATCAGCGGAAATTGGAGCTGAGAGTAATGGATGGCCGGATAGACTTCTCTTATTTGTTCTTTTGTTGTGGTTAATCTGTCTTTGCTGCAATTTCCAACTTCCTTCTTTAATTGAGATTGTTCGCCTTAATTTTAATTTTCATCGCTCTACATATTTCTTGACCTTTGTTGATCTCATTTACTGACTGCACCATTAAGTTTAATATGGGTCATGATCTCGTTTCATGCATTGAGTGAATTGCTGCTTTTGTTTGCTGCTCTTTCTTTCTCGCTATGTGAAGTAACACGGATGATTTGCTTATTTGTGATCAATATACCCTTAGAAGGCAGATGAATTTGCTCATAGTTTTTCCTTTTAACAAACTGGAATTTCGTGGAGTGATGATTTGCAAGTATGAGTTATCTGAGATGAATTTGGTTGAATTTTTTAAGGATGATGGAACATGGGTTGCTGTCCCCTGAGAGATCTAAGAAGGCATATGAGAAGAAACAGAGAAAGCAAAAGATGCAACGCATGGGCACTCCCATTAAATCTCCCAAAACACCTAGCAAACCCGAGAGTTCTTCTCACAGGCAGCAACTAGCATCTTCAAAGAAAGTTGATATAAAATCCAAGAGAAGACTAGCCGATGACAGTGATGATGACGATAATCTCGTACTAAGTGCAAAAAGAAGGAAAGGGTAAGCGGAAAACATCATGATTCTGGATAGGCACTTAGTTTAGATTGAAAAAGGGAACACATTCAATCTTCAAGTGTTGTTGGTTGTAAACTACTGGAAACCTGATAGATCAAGACAATCTTTTTCTATACTCTAGCGCAGAAATTATATCAGCACCCTGAAATTTCTTATTTCTGTTCATGTTCTACTCTTGCACTTGACAGTGACAATAATGTTGTACCTTCCATGTCCAGCCATTTAAGCTTGTTGGTAAAGACCAGTTGGCTGTGCCATCCTAACAAGCAATGTTGCCTGACCTTGGTTGTTTGCCATTTCAGTTTCTTATGACTTCAAAGGACAGAGATTTTATGCTTGTCCTTCTTCTCCCAGCAAAAGCTGTCAAATATTATGCATTAGTTCGAATTCTCCTTAATAGTCTGCCATCACCTCTTTTATTCTCTACTAGATGCATGTTCTGATCTCGCCATACTGAATGGCCTGCTGTCGATGATCTGTTTGATGAATTGAAACGTACTTTAATAAGCAATCAAGACTGACTCTTTGGAGGGTTACTTGTGAATGAGGAATGATGTCGTGTGAGTGCATAGAGCTAAATTTGGTTACTACTTCAACATTGCTCTTCCTCTCTTTCCCTACTCTTCATGTATTACTATATTGTCCATAAGCTTACTATTCATCACTTGCTTGGCTATTCACTACTGTAGCATTGTTATCTGCGACAGATAGTCTATGCATTTTATCTCTAATGACTGCAGCAGGTATAACAGGCAATGGTCTGAATATTTATTGTCCATCGACAAATTTATGACATATAATGCCATTGAATGAGATACCTCTCCCTTAAATGGAGTCTTGACTCATGTACCCTGCTTGAGCAATCATGCATAATTTTGCATACTATGGCCATTGATACATAGCAAGTAGGAAGGATTCCATATCGAGAGAGATTTTACTGCTATGGAACTCTTTGGGAAAGAACACAAGGTTTTTTTTTTTCTGGACCCACCTCTATGGTTAGGTGTTGCAGAAGAAGACTGCAGTCATGTCTCTCCATCTCTTCCTCAACTAGGCATGTGTATTAGAGGTTGTGTACACGCAAAAATACAGTCCATTATACGTATACAGAATACACCATATGCATTAATATCGGAGGCTGCAATTATTCCAGGTAGCCAGTTCCCATTCTATCATACAGCCAACCACCACTGTAAGTAAGATTTTCAATTCACTTATATAAATATGACCCCATATCTCGTTTGTCTGCATTCTCTTCTTCTTCTCACATTTCAAGTCATGATGGGGAAATGGTAATATACAGGTGGTGGCGGGGAGTAAAGTTACAGGAGATCACAGCAGCTGCTATCCATCGCTATACACAGCATTAATTGGTTTTTGTTTGGACATGAGCAAAGGTAAGAGAGCCACCACTACCAGCTGTATACTGTGAAAAAAGCTTAGATCTTTAGTGGTGGGGGCATAGATATATATCACAGGACTATGCGTAACATTGGAATTCAATGTGGGTTGAAACCATTAATGTTTTTTTATGTATGCATAGGGGGCAGTACATGTGAAGAAACAAGCGATGAATCCGCTTACATGTAAGACTACTAGTACTGTCATATAGATGGAATGACCTTAAAGTTTGCCTCCTTTTTCCTCTGATCCCTTCTGGAACATTTCAATAAGTTTCTGGGATCCAAGTCCCATCATCAGAAGTTGATGGAAGTTTCACCCCCCTGCCCATAAAGATGGAGTGAAAACCCAAAGTGATGGGTTGGCTCTTGGATGCTTCTTTATGACCTCTTGTTTGTGTTTATGTGGTTCTAATCATGTGTGATGAGAGCTTCTGCATTTGACATATCATTACATCTTTGTTTAAATGATAACTGGCCTCAAGTTTTGAACTTAGAATGTGAGGAATGTTGTTATCATCTCCATATTACCACTCGGACTTGTCATACCTGTCGCGATTTGTCAAGGGCATACGGGATATCGTATAATCTTCTGATGTCTGAGTGATGCTCGTATGAACTTCTTCTCCTGCTGCCAATAGAAAATCTTGCATGAGGTAAATGGAGGGGAAAAGTACATGGTATTCATTTGGCCCAGACAAAGCCATGCTGATTGTTATTGATTGTGAATGGAAGGAGACAGCTCCTTCGTTTCCTCTCTCATTTTTACTTTGTTTTCTGGGTGTTTGAGTTGGGTTGTGTGGGTAGCTACGCTCTGTTAAGTTTGCATGATTGAATTGTGTGAATAGGATTGGTGTCAAATGTCAATGAATTGCGACCACTTGTCCTGTCTATAATCCATGAGACCATGACTGGTACAATCCGATGTAACGGTTATATAATTGCAGGCACATGTGTTAGCATATGGGATGTGCTATATGAACATATTAGCAAAATTTGGTTGCTCTTCCTAACTTCATCCTACTCTTTTTTAGAGTGTTGTCTAGTTAGCATGCTAACAATGTGTGCTATATCACTAAACGTCGTGTTGGCGCTCGATTACTCTATACCAAATTCAAACCCGTCTGATTAATAAAATCTCTAATTCTGTAAATGCAGAGTGACAGAGAGGAGCCCGAGTCGAGTTAGAGTGGCAACAAGACTAGGCACATCTCCTCAACGTACGTTACGTGGTCGATCGGTGTGTTTGATGAAACATCAAGCAGAGTTAAGAAGAGCCCCATCACTCCATTTACCAATTTGGAAAGTGGCCAAGAAATGAAAGCTGCCTGCCATTCTGGTAAATGAAAGCTGCCTGAGAATCAGTGCTTAATAAGATTCTGAAGAACTCTGATATATTCCCTAAGCCTAGCTTCTCTTTGCTCTTACCTACTTTGCCAAATTTGCACATGAGTACTAGTAATACAGTTTATAGAACAAAGAATTTAATGGCGCTGCTGCTGCTGCTAATCCATCATAAGTCAGTGTCCATTGTCTGTTTTTCTTTTGGAGGCTTTCCCTTTCAGTCATCTCAGCGTCAATCTCATTCAAGCCCCATGTCTGGAGTTGAGAACGACGATAGATAGTAGCATGCAGCTGGCCCTGCGAGACTGCTGCTGCGTACGACAAGGTGAAATGTTCCTTGTTTTGCTGTTGTTGCCTTTTATCCACATCCTTTTCCAGCATCTGGAAAAGGAAAGATAGAAAAAAAGGGTTAAAGAAGGTGGTGAAATCTGAGTTCCTACTGTGATGATGATGATGACTGTCTATCTATCACAAGTTCCCATGGCCATGGATCTTGCTCGACAAAAGTAAAAAAAAAAAATGTATGGTGGTAATATGTGAAGGGGAAAGAGGTGGAAAAAGGGTTGTTGATGAATACTTGAATTGATGGTTTATTCACCCTTGTATAATGGAACACAAAAGAAGGGGACAATGTTGAGAGGGTAAATGTGTACTTTTACAAGAATACATCAATAGTTAGCTGGGGACCGGGTTTGTCCGGGTTGGGATTCGGTTCCTAGTTTTCTGATTTAACCAGAAATCGGACCTATAAGCCAGCCAGTCTGGTTGCAATCAAAACCGTCATGTTAGGTTTCAATTTGGTAAAATCGAGAAATCGAATCATAAGGTTGACACAATTCCAACCCACCTCTAAGGGGCTCTCAACCCTTCTCCCAAACCCAACCCTCACTCCATCCTTCTCTTACCACGACAAACCTTCGAATTCACGAGAGAGAGAAATTCGTCTTCATATTTCAACCTGTCGAACCTCATGTACAAAACATGAATCTCGACATGTTTCTCCTGGCATAATACTCGTATCAATTGTCATGAAACATCGAATGCGATCTTCAATAACTTAGATTCTTGTCATTGACAAAATAAAAGGAAGTGGGGAAAAAAACTTAAATGTACAATCACACTCAAGAAACAAAATTCACGTGCGCAACAGATAGACGTGTCTTACACTCGCGCGTATACGGTGGCTTAGCTTGTTCTTCCTACCTAGGAGTCACCTCCAAACCCATACAAAACATACAAATTTAAGCAATTGGCGTTACTTGAAATCATAGATTTCTAAGATTGATGAAATTGTGTGTGGATTTGACTCCTCAAAACTCAAGTGCTAATTATACTGATTTCTTTTTCCCCATTAATTGCCAAAATCATTATTTGGCCTCTCGAAAGCTCACAGGTGTAAGCAAAGACAACGAAAGAAAGACACAGTAACCAGTCGTCGCCAAAAGTCCCCTCCCGTTTGGCAGTAGTGACTAGTGGTACCATAAAATATCAACCCTTTCTGTTTTGTACCCAAAAGTACAAAAATACAATACAGTACGAATACTTTATAAATTATACTGGTACTGTTGTCCGATCTTGACAGGAACTTGCTCAATTACATAGTAGTACTCGATCATGGCACGAAACAATGATTAGATGTACGAGGGCTGGTGGCCTCTCATCTACACTCCAACGATCAAGTCGGTTTATAGTGTGAAGCATGTACGATGCGCGTCTTCGAACCGTTATTGTGGCGAGTCGGATAAGGTGGTGGAGGAGGAGACATTGGGGGGAAATAATTGGTGCCTAGAGTGAGGGATAAGAGTCGAGAGAGGGGAGAAAATTGGTCAATTCGAAACACTCAGAGCATTTCTATAGGGAAAAAGAGGTGAAAAGGTTCTCCACAGTGATATTTGGCTCCATTATTTGATGTTGAATTGGTGGGGAATGGGATCGATGGAGGTGGCAACTTGGCAACCTATAAACCAAACTTGTGAGCAAAGCTAAACTCGGGTTGATCGGGTCGGTCGATTTCGTTGAACTGGGTATGCAATCGAGCTCATACCATCATATTTCGGAGTATGATTCAATGGATTGAACATGGGTTGTTTTGATGATTGGTTGAGTAGGGAATCTGTGATGGTGTTTTGTTAGTAGGTATTCATAACGCTCATTCTGTGTATACATATATGAAACAGGCGTTGCTCGTTGCATTTGTTCAGATGAGAAGAATCAACTCAGAGCTTTCTTATATACGTGTTCCATTTTATCCGACAGATCCGGTATGACTTACGCGTGGCTTATCTGACCTGCGCGCATCACGTGACGTGAGTAACTTTTTTTTTTTACGGCCGAACACTTGTCTCAACCAGGCTTATAGTTATGATGACAAGGATCTATCCTTACTTATTTTGATAGTTTTGTTTTCTTCCATGTATGTACACACCCACAATACTCTTGGCTTATGAACTGCTATGTTAGCTCTGTTACAAATGCCCGATTGAGAAATATGATAGAAACGAATAATTGCCCACCAACGAACTTCTTTCCCTTTATTAGATCAACCCTTCTTCTTCTTCTTCATCATTCCCAGTTTCCCACTTCCCCTGCTGCCACTGATAACACTACTGTTACTACTTACTAGAAGTAGTAGCTTTACCCGCCATCATTGCCCCCCAAAACCTCTGTCTATTTAGTCCCCCTTCCTAGTCCCTTTCTCCATTTGTCGATCACCATCCAACGACAAGTTCGATTTCCCCCCCTGCCCTCTCTTTCTCTCCAAGATTCGTCACTACCCATTTCGTGCTTCGGGTCTTACTGTTTCCATTCCTGGCTTGCGTTGAACCTGTTCGACGAAATGCCTGAACCACGACGACGACGATATACAGAGCAGGAGAGCAGCTCCAACTCGTTCTCCTCCTCCTCTTCACCTCCGTCCTCCCCAATGAAACTATGTCAACAGCAGCAGCAGCAAGATCGTCACGACGATGGGGACTCGCCGAATTCCCCTGCTTCCACGAGCAAGAAGACGAAGCGGATGCGGGACTGCAGCAAGCACCCGGTGTACAGGGGAGTCCGGATGCGGAGCTGGGGGAAATGGGTATCCGAAATCAGGGAGCCGCGCAAGAAATCGAGGATCTGGCTGGGCACTTTCCCGACCCCTGAGATGGCGGCGCGCGCACACGACGTGGCGGCGCTCTGCATCAAGGGGAGCTCCGCGATTCTCAATTTCCCCGACCTGGTCAGTTCCCTGCCCCGGCCGGCCTCCGTTGCGCCACGCGACGTCCAGGCGGCGGCGGCCAAGGCCGCCCTGATGGACCAATTCGACGGGAAGAGGGTGACGGACGACGATTCCGGCGCCGCCGCGGCCGTGGCCGCGTCGGCGTCGGCGTCTTCGCTGTCGTCGATGGAGGAGGAAGAGGAGGAGGGGTTGAGCGAGATTATTGAGCTGCCGAGTCTCGGCGATTTCGGGGGCGAGTTAAAGAGCGAGTTCGTGTTCGTTGACTCGGTGGTGGACGGGTGGCTGTACCCGCCGGTGTGGTCGCCGGACGACGGTGGTTGCGGTGGCGGGACGGCGGGTAGGTATGTTTGCGGTGGTGACGGGAATGGATTTGGGGATGGATTATTTTGTAATTATTATTAAAATAAAATAATAATAATGATGATGATGATGATAATAACACCAAAAAGAAAATAGGAGTAATGGTGTTTTGTTGTGAATTAATTTCGCTATCAATGGCCTTTTTTTTTCTTCCTTTTTATTAATTAAGTTTCTGATTTTTGCTGTCTTTTCTTTTGAGGCCTCTCTTTTCCTCTTTTTGTTTGCATTTTCTGATATGAAAGATCTTTTTAGCCTCTTTTTGTGGTTTTATTTTAGAAGGGGCTAAAAGGATGGGGTCATGTGTTACATGTGAACGTTGTTGTTGTTATTTGTAAATGGTTAATCATGTCGTTACGAAACAGTACAAATCATTGATCATGACGTGTAAGTGCATGAGATTTGTAAATAATGGTGACGTTCTGTGTGTACTTAGAATTTAAACTGTTATTGAAGAATGATTTCGACCCGTCAACTGATTTGTTTGCTTTCCACTCTCTTTACATCCAATTTTTGTGCTAATATAGTGATATTTGATTCAACTAAATGGATGGTCTAAATCTTTCATTTGATTCGATTGGTTGGTATTGACTGGTGAACAAATTAACTCATACGAAATCGGTCAAGTATGAATCATATTCACTAAATGGAAATTAAATTAGTTTGGTTGATTATTATTCATCAAGAGGAAATAGTTTGGTTGGTTGATTGGCTAACTTGCTTGTTTGCACAATGTACGAAATATTCTATCATGCTACTTTAATCATTGATCTTTTGATTACCCACCAAAGCTATCATGATTAACTACTAATTTTTTAATCACCCACCAAAACCATCATTAGTAACTAGTTGCTTTGACTGGTTACAAAAGTCTATGATTGAAGCAAATCATTTCGGCCAAATTGGGTAAGGATATCCAACAAGTAAAACCAATCAACCAAATGGATCCGACGATAAGCTAGCCAATTTTATTCGGGGAGTGAAGTTATCGTGATGCTCGCAATCCATTTATAAGTGTATGTGAATGCGATTCAAACGAATTCGTCCAACTCCAAGCCGTCTAGTTTCCTCATAACTCATGTCCATTCACCTTGTTACTGTATAACAATTTGACGGATCACCACATCACATTCACTCTGCTTCACCTTGTTATTGTATAACTATTTGACGTCATCCGGATATAAGGATATCGATCAAGTAAAACCAATCAACCAAATGGATCTGATAAGCTAGCCAATTTTATTCGGGGAATGAAGTTATCGTGATGCTCGCAATCCATTTATAAGTGCATGTGAATGCGATTCAAACGAATTCGTCCAACTCCAAGCCATCTAGTTTCCTCATAACTCATGTCCATTCACCTTGTTATTCACTCTGCTTCACCTTGTTATTGTATAACGATTTGACGTCATCCAGGATCTCATTCACTCTCTTTACAACCAAATTTGGCCAAGTAAAAAACTTAAACCGAGATCTCTAAATCCAAAACCGAAGTTTAATTAGTTTGGTTGATTAGTTAACTTGTCTTACCCAATATACCCATACTCTATCATCCTACTTCAATCGTCAACAACGATCTATCAACTAACTTTTCCTTTTTATAGAATCTCTTAACTAACTTTTAGCCACCCACCAAAACTATGATTAGTATCCTAATTCTCAACCAACATCATATCCATGCAGCTACCAATTGGTTAGTTGGTCCGACCGGTCAGAAAAGTTTATAATCGAATCGAATCAAATCATCTAAACCACACAAAAGTGGATCTTCATAATCAAGTCAAACCCAATCAACCGAACCGATCGAACCAAACCAACCAATCTGAAAACACATAAGCTAGTTCCAACGATACCAGATTCGTTCAAAACCAAATGAATTCGTCCGATCCAGACTCCATCTAGTTCTATTTGGAACTGATATCAAATCATCTGTAGAGAGTTGGACGAAAATGGGGACTCGTCGCCTTCGTAAATTGGTGGGTTTCCTTTAGCTTGGTGGGAACCGGGCTCATTTAAAGCTCTGTTTTTTCCCTCTCTCTCTCTCTCTCTCTGTTTTATGCGATCGCTGTTGAAACGAGAGAGAAAGGACCAAAGACAAAAGAGGGCGTCGTACAGTACGTAGATACAGCTAGGGGTGGTTGTCTCTGTCTGTTTTCTTCAATTTTCTCATCAAGAAAATGTTCTTTTGTTGTGTGATTTCAGAATTCCATCATGAAGGTTTCAGATGCTCTGTTATTGGCTGACAAATTCGTTCTTTGTCTTTCACTAAGCAACAAATTAGCAAAGATCGACGGAACAGTTGGAGCGATAGCAATGCAGTTGAAAGCGCGATTCTACGTAAGTAGAAGTGTAAAAGCGTGAGCTTTAAAGTTTTGAAGTTTGATTTTGACTACATTATTAGCAAGGGAAAAGCGTGATTCTGGGTAGAAGCATTCTGGTGATCTGGAAACGTAAAACCATAGTCTTTAAAGCTCGGTTTTTATTACGTTGAGAGGTAGGCTAGCTTCTTGGACCGATTCTGAGTGGTTTTCTTTAGGGACATGCACGGATTGTGATCGAAAAACGGGATTAAGAGTGAGGGATATGGTTAGAAATATAATCGTAGTGTTTTTCGAGGAGGTCGTCCAAGAGATTAATTAGTCGTACAAAACTGGAACCAAAAAGCCCGATCATGTCATCTGGTTAAATCAACCGCTACTATAATAAGGAGAGCTGAGAATATTCGGTCAGTTACAAACTCTAACGTACGGTACTGTCGAGTAACATTCGGTCCCATGAATAGCTCAAATCTTTCAAAAAAACCATGTTGTACGACCCGAGTGGCTGCAACGGTGGAGCTACGTGCAGTAACCAGGAGGAGCTACAACAACCCCTCCTCATTTTTTCAATCTAAAGTCATAATGTGCACATTCATACTTTTAGAAACCATAGAAAATGGCAGGACGATGTCGGCTATCAACCCCCTCCTCCCACATATGAGTTCAGTCGTCTAAAAATTGTTACGATTTATTATCTTCCGTCCCTCCTCATTCTAATTTCTGGTTTCGCCACAACTCACAAGGTGGCAAGCAATGATCAGATCGTACATTAATTCCCACTTTTGTCGCTTAGAAATTTGGTGCCATATATGTAGATAGATCTCTCTCTCTATTCGATGCCGATGCTGCGCATTATTATGCTGTTTGAAGAAAAGTTCTGCAGAGACTGCATGCAAATGCCATATTCTCTGCTGCTTTGCATAAAAGGGTTAAGAAGAGCGGTGCAGTCTAGGCAACGTACGTACGCACGCATGCAGCATAGTGTAATCCCAATATGAATTGGTCGCTCTCCAACATCATTATACATACATAGCATATATTTTTTTTCCGACACTTCCCCGTGTGTTGCCTATCAGAAAAAAGAGTGTACGTGATGGCTAGAGAGAGAGAGAGTATGACCAGTGGCGTAGCCAGCCATCGAGTCTACTGGGGTCCTTAAAATCTTACTAACATAAATGCTTGTGTACCTAATGAATTTTGAGTTAACCGGGGTCCTTGGTGAGCTAACATCGTTGAGAGTATGGGGTCCTAAACTTGAATTATCGTACTAAAACCTATGTATTTAAAGGATTTTGTTGTCCAATTATTTGCCAAGTGGGGTCCTAGGACCCCTCTCCTCCTTACCTCCCTCCGCCACTGAGTATGACAACCAAGAGTTTTTAACGAGGTGTTTTTCGTTAATCCGTCGAGTTAGAGATTACTCATCATTGTGCTATCACGTTATTGTTGAGATTAGACTTATTAGTCTGATCAGTGACGGAGTCGAGATTTCGTTGTATGGTAATGGATTGAAATTAAGTATTTGACTTTTATAATCGAGAGGCTGATATGAGAAGCCACTTTTTTTCATGAGCTACGCTTATTACCAAGAAGAAAAATGATCTAACGTGACCACAAAATCGAACGGATCCAAGAACACAAAAAAAAAAAATTGAATGCAACAAAAGAAAGGGTCTTTTTTGCACCACCAGCATGGCAACTCTGTTACGAGTATGAATGACCAACGAAAACAACATCAAGATAATTAAAAGACACTAACTAACTAGTTGATCAATGTCGCATCGTCTGTGTGTGTAAGAAAATATCGCGCCTCCAAGGACATCCATCACGTAGTTAGTGAGAACTACGGATCTAGGCGTGCGATTTAGGGATTAAACGAACTAGGGATTGGGGATTTAGGTGAGAGAGAAGGGAAATTTGGGATGAGAGAGAGAGCAGAATCGGGTCCCCGAGTTGGGAGCCGCCGAAGGTGAGAGGGAAGGGAGGGGGTCGGCCAAGGTGAGTTGAGAGAGAGAGAGTTGGGAACAATTTCTGTATTATTCCTTGCCCTTGACCTAACATAACATCGTATATATATAACCCGACTAATTACTGTTTACTACCCGAATAATTAACCTAACCGAACGAACCCCCACAATTCCCCTACCTGACAATATCCGAATAATACGTAAATAACAAATAGACTCTCAACAATTATGTTTCTCACAATCCATCCCCCTTGAAACCCACCTTGCCCTCAAGGTGGGCCATGGGTCTTGTCATCCTCTTTCTTGTCCTCTCCTTCAGCGCCCCGCTCCATTTCCTTGCCTTCATCCTCCCAATTCCCAACTAGCAGCATTAAGTGACTCTTGGCGCACTGGTGGCCCACAGTATACCTCTCATCGCAGTTGAAACAACGCCCGTCCCGGCGTTTCTGGTCCATCTCTGCCTGAGTCAGCCTCACGAACCCACGCGGTGGTGCTCTGGCCGGGAATCGAGTTCCGACAGTGGTCCCTGTCGCCGGAGGGCTTGCTGCCGCCGCCGGTGCTCCCGCCCCCGTACCGGCTCCGCCACCTACTCCACCACTGGCCTTCTGTATCCTGCCCACAGAGGATCTCCAGCTTGCTAGCTCCTCTTCCTTCCGCCCTGCAATTCTAAAAGCCACCCGGAGAGATTCAGGCTCGAAGACCTTGACCGCAGTGGCCAGCTCGGGCCTCAGGCCCGCCATGCACAGCCCCACCAGAGTTT